CATAACGTAATTACGTTAGTAAAAACGTAGTCGATCTACGGAAAGTCTTACGTAAACTGCATGCGCATCTGGGTTCCGCCATACAGAGTTTTCAAATCACGTAGCTGCCCTGGGCAACTCCGAACGCGGCAGTGTACGACCAGATCGACATGGGTAGAGAGTCATAAATTTGTATCCCAATCCACTTACGGACCAGCTACGTTATCAGAGCCCTATCTACGTACTCTCCGTAGACAACTTCCCGTAAGTGGAGTGCAAACTCGCGAATTCACGGGTTTTTCCCACCCACTAACGTAAAGTTGCCCAACTTTACGTAGTGCGGAACCTCTCTATTATCACATTAGACTGTAGACTGTGTATAAACATGGGTGCAAGTATTCTCCATTGTTTCTAACAAACAAACAAATCAATACGGAAAACCATCATCACATTCAGATTTTGACAATGGGAAATGGTCAAAGCTCCTGAAATTTAAGGTTTGCTGCGTATTTTACGCATTGACTGCTTTTCCAATTAGTACTGTATGCTTTTAATCCTAATAGTTTTTATGTAGTCTTCAAGCTAAATGTGGAGCATAGCAAACAATTATACTCTTCAGGCCGGTTTAAGATCAGATTTTGGAGCTAAATTGGTATAAAAAAAGAATGGAGATGGATATTGTCTGGATTTGGTGGGCACACAGCTTATAGTACAGGCTTCCTGATAGCGGAAATGCACAATGTACTTACTGTCGGCCTGGCAACGAAGACGTTCTTGCTCCTTCAACTGCCGCTGTTCATAGGTGATGATGTCCGGGAATGCTTCCATCAGCTTCATGAGAATACACACGTGCACATACATATACACCAACACACCCACATACGCATGTACACACACACATGTACACACACATGTATGCAAATGCACACACAAACATGCAAACTCATACACACCCACGCGCGCGCGCGCACGCACACACACACACATTCACACACGCATACACACACACACACACATACACACACACTTAGCTTTGCATAACTTAGGTTCCTTGAGAGGCTAGAAAACTTAAATTATTTTGTAGTCTTGCCAAGGTTGTTCTGGACATTTTACCAAGTGAAATCTAGTTATGGAAATTGTACCAAGTGAAAACAGATATTATCTTAAATGCATTGTTGCAAATGACTGATATCATCTAAAACTTCTTGCTTCATAAGAAGAAGATTACAAACTACAAGTTCATGATATTCAATTTTGATATGATCAAACAAAACATGCACCGTTCTCACTCAAGCAAATTTGTAATTTTGTTTATGAATATTGACAGCAGAGATTCATAGTTACGGAAAACTTTAAAAAATTCTTATTCCGCTCACCATGTTCTCATTCTCCACCAGCATCCCGCAGATCTCTCGGTAGAAAACGGAGAATGGCGAAGAAAAGCAGTGCTGAGCTAACCTGCTGTATAGCACAGTAGATGTGTGACGATGAGATTGTCGGCACCATGCCAACAACACCAGCGAGGCATTCAGCCGACTGGGTCCAGCGGGCGACAATGATTGGGGGCCACCAAGTCGGCTGATTTCCCTCTCACTCACATCTAGGCTTGATTGGAGATCGCTAAGGAATGCGGAATCTCGCAGACTCTCCAGGCGATCAGTACATGTGGCAGGAAGCATACTGACATGCGTGGCAGGAACGTGATGAAGATCCTGCACCGAGTCAACGAACACACCGCTGGCGTCCTTGACATCTTTGCTTTGCACACTGCTTGCGGCAAGAATGACGGCTTCGGACGGGTAGGAAGCAACCACTGCACAGATAGCAGCTGGTGAAGCGGATTGCTTGATAAGCTGACGCATGCTGCTCAGGCTGAGGACAGTGCGCTCTACCGAAGTACCACGACTGTATCTCTTCAGTAGGTCAAGGAAGAGAGCTTGAAATAACCAGTGGACGTGGTGAACCACTTGCAGGTTCGTACCGCGACTGGACGTCACTGCAATACAACAGCGCTGACGGTCGGACGAAAACACAATCAGCGCTGTTGTGTGCGGATGCGGGTGGACAATGATGGTGTTCTTGAAGAACATGGGATCAGTACTGGAGAAAAAGCAGGCGGAGTAGTCGTATACACGTGCTTGGCATTGAACAATGAGACCAGATGAGAATGGCACACAGCCATTGCAGGTATACACAGAACCTACCATCACTTGTGAGGTCATGAAGGCTGTGTGCACCTTCAATGGCTGTGTGCACTCGGGAAACAGGGAGAGAGCAAGGATATCCTTCTGATAGTGGATGGACAAGCCGAGCTGTAGAACCATACGCACGCAGAGCGGAGCTTTTTCTCCAACTTTGGCGAATGAAGTCAGTGAACGGACGAACTCCTCTTCACTCATCTTGTATTCCCTGGCAATGCCATCAGAGCGGTGGGGGAAGACGTTGGACGAGTACATAAACCCGATCACGTCCTGCAGGAGCCAGCGAGGCTGATGAACCACCAGATCATTCAGCTCTGGGAATGTGATGACCTTTAGCAGTATCAAAGGCATACCACATGCACACACACACACACACACACACACACACACACACACACACACACACACACACACACACACAAACACACACACACATACACACACACACACACACACACACACACACATACACACACACACACACTCACACATACACACACACATACACACACACACACACTCACACATACACACACACACACACACACACACAAACACACAAACACCCACCCACATACACACACACACACGTACACATAAACACAACAGAAATGTAGATCAAGTACAAAGAAACGTCTATTTCCCTCTCTTATCTCTTATCCGACACTTGTTTATCCAGAACTCTCGCAAACCAGCCCATTTTCCGGCGAAACGGATTTTTCAGTTCAGTTTTGACGCTTTAATCCGGCACTTGAATTGCGGCTCCCGAAGCGATTTTCTGCAACAAATCGCTCCAACTGTACATATTTCGATTTTATAATCCAACAGTTGTACATCGCATACCTTACCTGTGCACAGCTATGTTAGTTTGGTGAGTGCATGACATGCATGAACTAACTTATCATGTAGCCTTCTACACATGTAACATACCCTTGCAACTATCCTATGCACTGTATAGACATGCATTCCACAAAGTAATTAGATTGACACAGAAATCTGTGCGTTTTGACTTTTAACACAAACATGTTTGTAGGTGGGCCGGGTTGGAGAGCAGGATTTGATAATCCAGCACCCTTGTTTATCCAGCAGAAAATGCTGCTGCAAAAGGTGGCGGATTAGAGAGGGACAACTGAAGTTAAATTTTGACTCCCAATATCTATTGTATAAAACTCAAATATACAACCTAACGGCCTATTGGTGTGCATACAGCAACAAGTTTTGGGTTACATTTTGCAGTGGACTTCAGTATTTTCCATCAATTCATGGCAAACTTCCCATTTTCTCTTATGTGGGCATATAGTTTCTCAACAGAATGTCTCCAGTTCTTACTCATCATTCATTCTACAACTACAATTTATCTCTTTCCAGAAGGCAACAATCTTTTTTTTTTTTTTTTTTTTTTTTTTTTCGAGTGCGGATGCAGTTTTAGGAGCTCCGCTCCTATCAGCCTTTCCGAGTCTGTAACTGTAACCTACAGGAGCTGTGACTTGTACTGCGGACTATGGCCACCAATGAGCATGTCGACCTGGCCCTTCTGACGTTCGACTGTCTACAAAACCTGGCCACCCGGACTGGCATCCCGAAAGCGGACTCCTTCTCACGGCCCGACCTGGTGGGAGCGCTCCGGAAGGAGGGGATTGGGTCCCACCCCATCCTGGAAGGTATGACCGGTATAGGACATGTCACGACTGCTTTGGCCGCATTGTCCTCGACAATAATGGACCTGAATAAAGAAATAGTGGCAATTAGGGTGGGAAGAGATGATGAAATTGCTTCCTTGAAGCTTGAAATTCAACAGCTGAGGCGGGAAATGGCTGACCTGCGAGATACTACCGTACACACACAGCACGCCATGCCACACCAGTACAGCGACGTAGTACTAGGAACCGCCACACAAACTGCTGCTGCTGCTGGTACACACGCCGGCAGTGGCAGCCTGCCAGGAGAAACGCGTGTGCCACAACCCAACACTACTACAAGTCGTAGTTCCAGCCCCGCAGCAGGCGTGCATGCATCCCGTAGGTCCAGCACTACTCCAAGTCGTAGCTCCAGCCCTGCAGCAGGCCTGGATGCATCCCGTAGGTCCACCGATACTGAACAACAAGTACATGAATGGCAGGAACACCAGGGCAGACGCACTCGAGCCGCCCAGAGACAAAGGCACGCGGCAGATACTAGTAGTCAGTCCCAGCTAGCTCAAAGCATAACAAGGCGGGTGGAAACATCCCGCTACACCAAGCCGGCTCGTGATAGCGAGCCGGCAGTAGACCTCACGGCATCACCCCGGGCCAAACGCAAAGTGTTTTACGTTGGCAACGTGCAGCCACACTGCTCCGCATCATCAATTGCTGAATGGTGCTCTGCCCGAGGAGTGCAGATTCAGGAAGGTGTCATATTTGCATCCAAGCACTTCAGAACTGCCTACGCACGGGTGACCGTCGAGGCAGCTGATGAGAACACAGTCGGTGACAAAGGGTTCTGGCCAGATGCTCTTTCGCACACGGTTAGGCCCTGGCGTTTTGCCGCGGACAGTTTTGACACCAGCAATGCCAACCAGGCAAACAACGTCCTCTCCTCAGGCTCAGCATGATGGCGCGACCACAGCTGAATCCACTGGCTCGGCCCTACTTCCCCCCTTGCCAGGGTAAACTGACCTTGCTTTCCGTAAATTGCCGCTCAATCGTTAACAAATCTGCCGAACTGTCTGTCATTGCTGATTTCAACAAACCTGATGTCATCTGTCTAAATGAAACATGGCTAAATCCAAGCATAGCGCTCACCATCTCCGGTTATACCACATTTCGTCGCGACCGACCACCTCATGATAACAAATCCGGTACGGCAACCAGAGGATATGGTGGAGTTGCGATTCTTGTCCGGCAAAATCGCTTCGGAAGAGTCCAAGTTCGCGACGACCTTGCTCGTCCGACCTGTGAATCCGTATGGGTTGAGCTTCACCCAATCTTAGGCTCCCCGACACCCATCCTCGTCTGCTGTACCTACCGTCCGCCCTCAGTCAAAACCACGGAAATAGACCACTTCTGTGATATGCTAGCTAGTGCTTTGGTAACCGTTCCCATGTCATCGTACCATGTCATAATGGCTGGGGACTTTAACAGTAAGCACAAACGGTGGTGCCCATCGGATTTAACGTGTCCTGCTGGGGCGGCACTTTTTCGCACCCTTACCTGCTTCGGTTTGGATCAGCTGGTGCAGAGTCCAACGCACACAACATCTTCCGGAACACAGTCATGTCTAGACCTTGTCTTCACGAACCAACCCCTGCTGGCGACGGACGTTCACACAGCTTGCGCTCTTGGCTCCTCGGACCATCTCATGGTTTCATGCCAGTTCGCCGTCTCATTGCCCTCGGATCCAGACCTGCCACTTCCTTCTCGCAAACCGTTCCCATATCGCTTCCGTCGAGTTCCCTCTCAGTGCTGGGACTCTATGAACGCTGATTTCTCCTGCCACGACTGGTCGTTTCTGCAACCAGAAGGCTCTCCAACTGTTGACGCCGCGGTAGATCACTTTGCAGCCGTCCTTGAACGAGGGTTCCAACAGCACCTCTCTAACTTTGCTATCGGCTACAACAACCGGAAACATTCCAACCCAACATCCTCGACATCTAGTCCCCCATGGGTGACACGGTCTCTCGTATCTGAAGTGAAGCGCAAGCGTGATCTTTTCAGCATCTACAAGAAATTCCCAACGCCGGTTAACCGGGAGGCTTACCGAGTTCAACGCAACTTCGTCAAGCACCTTTCTCGTACCTCACACCGCTCCTTTCTAAACTCTCTTTCTGCAACACTCTCCTCCCCCGATCGCCCATCACTCCACCAATTCATTCGCAACCAGTGCCGCGGGACCTCCCGCGCGCCAATCCAGTACCTGACGGACTCCCATGGCAACCGCCAGCACGATGTGAAGGCGATTGCAGACACACTGAACAAGCAGTTTGTTTCATCCGGCATTCCGGAAGATCCGAATTGGGTCATTCCATCGCTGTCCCCAGCCCCTGAACTTAGCGCACCACTCACACGCGTCGTTACCACGACTGCTACCGTCTGTAAGCACCTCAAACTCCTGAAGAATTGTAAGTCCCCTGGCGAAGATGGCATACCCAATGAGGTTCTCAAATGGCTTGCGCCATCTCTGTCCTATCCCTTGTGCCTGCTCTTTAACATGTCATATCGTACAGGAGTATTTCCGTCCGTCTGGAAATCTGCTGTTATCGTCCCGATCTATAAGAAAGGCCAACGCTCTCAGGCTGGCAACTACAGACCAATCTCTCTCCTTCCCGCTGTGTCCAAGGTCTGTGAACGTATTTTCTTTGAGTCTCTGTACTGCCACGTCACCCCAGCGCTTTCACCATCTCAATCCGGTTTCTGCCGTGGAGACTCCACAACTTTCCAACTAACACGTCTAGTACAAGACATCTACACCCAGCGGAACCTCCGGCGGCATGTTGGCATCGTGTTCTTTGACCTAGCGAAAGCTTTCGACACCGTCTGGCATCGTGGTCTGCTTGCAAAGCTAGAGTCCGTCTTCTTGGTACACGGTCCAGCCCTGCAATGGCTCTCATCCTATCTTTCCTGCCGCCACCAGACTGTCAGAGTATCTACCTCCCTATCAGACCCATTACTAGTCGTGTCTGGGGTACCCCAGGGGTCCATACTTGGGCCGCTCCTATTTCTACTGTACGTTAATGACTTGCCAGCCCTTGTACCAAATGTAAGTCTTTTTGCTGACGACACTGCTCTGATGTGCTCCGACAGCTCGGCAGACAACCTCACGGCCTCCATGCAGTCCGGGGTCAACGCTACAGTAACATGGATGGAAACCTGGAAACTGAAGCCTAACCTCGCCAAAACCGAGGCCATGTTCTTCTCCCCCTCGCCCCCCACTCAACTTCTGTATTTTCCTGGTCTAAATAGTACACCTATTAAAGTTGTTAACGAGCACAAGCACCTGGGCGTTATTCTCGACCGCCAACTCTCCTGGTCTCCACAAGTCCAGTCTGTGTGCAAGCGTGCGAGTGCGTCCTTAGGTATGCTACAACCCCACTGCCAACACTTGAATGATAACTGCAGAAAATTGTTCTTTAAGTCGTACATTTTGCCTATATTTGACTATTGCGATATAGCTTGGTGCGGGTTGTCTCAGACTTTACTCCACAGACTGGAGGTACATCAACGCTTGCTTCTGAAAATTCTGTTTCGAAAAGACCAAACATTTGCCTCCCTTTGTCTTTATAAACTTGCTTCCACGCACCCTCTTCTTGCCCGACATCAGCAGCATCTTTGTATCCTTGTGCAAAAAATCTTCCTAGCCCAAGTCCCGAAACATATTGCCAAGTACAACTGGTTTGTTACCACTAGACCAACACGCAATGCTTTATCACTGCCCCGAGCTAGTTCCTCTCTGTTTTTGAAATCCCCTTTCTTCTCAGCATACTCCCTTTGGTCTAACCTGCCTACTAGCATCAAGACATGCCAGGATATCAGGAAATTCACAGTCCAGCTTTCCACACTGTCTCATCCGAAGTGATCCCATGTATTATTAATGTGCCTCCCTTTCTTTTTCTCTCCCTATCTCCTTTCCCTCTCTGACAGCTTCTTTCTTTTTTTTTCCCTTTTAGCTTGCCGTGGTTGGCTATCACCTGACCTCTCATGTTTATTGGCAGTCTTCGGACGGGCCAGGAGATGTTGAATAAATAAATAAAAATAAAAATCTCCTCAAAAGAGCTTCATTACCTAGAGCACCATGGAGGTTTTGTGTGTGTGTGTGTGTGTGTGCGTGCGTGCGTGCGTGCGTGCGTGTGTATGGTTCATGAGGTTCTCGGAGAATCACAAACCAAATTGGCAGGGTGACATGTTTGTCAACTCATCCGAGTTGGACGAAGACATTAGCGAAATCTAGAATGTAACACATGGTGCAGGTCTTAAGGGCACCCAGCCGGCAAAGTTTCAAAACCTTGAAGTCATAATGGGCTTTGAGAATAGCAAACCTCCATGTGAACAAGGAAATTCAAATTCAAACCTCGATCTTTTCTGTGTACCATTCTATATGTACACACAGAAATTCAACATCACATGTCAACATTGCTATACATGCATTGCTCTTACATATCCGTAAGCAGTCAGGACGCGTAGATATCTGTCTATCCTGTCAGCGAATCGTTCTCGCGGTGCAGTGTTGGTTCCTTGGATTGCCTTCTTGAATGCCGCAACAAACTCGGCTCTTGAACAGTATGGATTGGGCATCGATGCCTGAACCTCATCCAAATGCTTCCGAGCCTTCTGAAGCAAACGCGGTTGCCTTGGTGACTTCTGCAGACAAAGTTGAAATAGTACGAAATAGAGGCAGCAGCGACTTTGGCAATACTTTAATAGGAAAGAGTTTGCTTGCCATTAGGGAGTTAACGCTTTTCCCCCACTTGACTTTACAATTGATTGACTCACAACAGCCAGAGGAGGAACGGGAAATGGGCAAGGTTGGGGGGGGGGGGGAGGTGGATTGGCTACTCGACCAGCTACTCGAGCAACACTCAGGGCAGAAAAAAATGATCAAAATTGGGAAATGAGAAATCTTACCGCCAACACTCGATTGATCAAGTGCATGAATTCACTTCTTAGATCATTCATGCTGGAACTGTTGGACTTTCTAGCGTCCACTACTCTCACAATGGAGAGATCCAAGCGCTGAGAGAATGATTTCATTCCCCTCCTTATGGCCTTCTCCACTTCAATGCGCTTTTCTGGTGTTAGCTGGTCAGCTCGTGTGGCAATTGCGATGACATCAAGTTTCTCCGCCTGTTGCAGATCTTCCTGGTGGTGGTGGTGCTGCTGCTGCTGTTCTTGTTCTTGTTGCACAGTCGGTAGAGAACCTGATAATGCAAGAAGACAAAGTGATGCAATTGCTAATGACAAGGAATACCAGTCCATGAATACACAATTAGTCAATCCAAGAAAGCAAAGTATTCCCTTTTCTTTCTTGTATGCCAGAATGGAGAAGTTAGTAAGTCTCTTCATCCTAAGTTCATGTCTTGTAAGAACTAGTTTGAATGATATGGGCACCAGAGCGGACTGATGATCAACTGTTTGTCGTTTTTGGCATGTTTTCTACTGAGAAACCCTGTGATTGAACAGGACACTGGAAGGGTTTGTGCCTTTCATATTAACTTTGTGGCTGCTGGCAGGGATCTAGTTGCAGTATTCAAGATTGGCTGAATGGATCACGTGACAGGCAAGACAATTATCTATTGCTATCCACTTACCATGATCAGGTGCAGACAGGCGACAAACTATATTGGCGGCAGTTGCACCGACAGTCTGTGTGATCTCATCAACACACTCTGTGCCGTCCACCACTATTGCGGCAACAGATGGTGCTGTCATGGCAACCGTGAATATGTCATGTGACTCGGTATAATGTTCTTGGCCAGCAAAGTCGCGAAAATGCACCTTCACCTGCGATTGGTTGTAAATGGTTTCTTCAATTCCCTATAATTATGTAACAGATAAAACAAAATTAATGAGCAAGAGAACATTGTATGAATCATACCCAGCTCACCACAATCACACTGTTCTACAGCAACAGTATACCATACTCGCGTGCAAAGAAGGCAAAGAACCAAACCCTAATGTTTCCTGTAAACTATCATGACTCAGCAGAAACAGCAACAAGATCTACAATTTTGATCCTGAAACCACCAGGAAGGTGACCTGGACAATTAAATTAGCAAAAGGACACCAAACTTGGCGGCACTATTCGAGAGAGGGCTCTTATCGCGCCAGTACGGTAGTTCTGGTAGTAATACTATGTGTATATAACATACATAGCAGTAGATTCATTTATTGATAGAAATACAAACAATCGGCAACCGATAATCACAGTACCTTTAGTCATGTATATCTCATTCCACGATGACTTTATCAGCTATAAATTCACAATTGTCTGGGGGGTAAATTGTAGATTGCTGATGCAATCTTCATTTGGTCCGTCAGTTTCTAGTAGTGGTAAATTTGTCTTGTGACCAGATAAGACCACACGACACTTGCAGACACCAGCATGAACATTTCACCAGTCACATTTCATGGCTCTGTTTACCTCTCTTTCTCGTTGTGACTGGCTTAGCGTGGTTTTTTTTTTAACAGTTTGGTCCTGTAGGGTTCATAATACCTACATTCTGCACTTTCCCGTTCATGTTGATTTGTGTCTAGATAGAATGAAACAAAACTGACCACTAACGATTTGGACTAACAATGCATTCATCCAAATTTCAATAGGTAGCACTTTGTGCATTCTACTTTTTTGAATTGCTTTCAACTCACCTTTGTTCGGGATGCTAAATCTTTTGCCTTCATGTCCGGTTGATTCTCCTTGCGTAGCCGTTTATTGAAGAAACCTTCTGCTGTGAAGGATGAAATGAAGGTAGATTTTCCTGAACCTTCTGCTCCACACACGTTGGCAATCAGTTCAGTAGGATCAGTGTAACCCTCAACACCAAACTCTTCACGTATCAAGCTGGTCTGGAGCATACACAGGCAGCACACAACAACAATATCCAAAGTATGTAAGTTGAACACTGTCTAGAACTACAGTGTCGCTCGGTGAAATTCAACCAAAATTGCAAAGCCGGATGCGCCCTCGATCAGTTGTGATTATACAAGCAGTATTGCGGATATTTACATCCAGCTGCATTCGTGCCACTTCCAGGACACCCAGGGTCGTGCAAGTTGAGATTGCCAAATATGGACACGGGTCGAATTTCAGAGAGTGCAACTGTAGATATTACAGTATATCCACACAGCTGGACATACATGTACACTAGACACTAGACACCATCTTAAATCTGACAGTAGGCTAGTTGCTGTCAGGTTGTTCAATGTAACCAGTATTTCAACCCAATTATTAGGGCAATTGATGTATGAGTCCATAGTGGGCTCAGAGAGCACACTCGTATAGTGTCAATCTCCATAATCACACACAACTCAACACAGTCTGTCCAGGAATTCAATGAGATTTCAGAGGAGAGTCTCTCACATTAGCTATCCGCATTCTGTGTTGGTGCCCGCATCAGAAATGAATGATCACTAATCTGACTGCTCTGCTTGCTACAACACCGACAGTACTAGAAGAGAAATATGTCTCCAGTTTTGTCTTCCACCAAATGGTGACATTCGACACTCATTGCGCCCCATATATCTTGTCATTGTATAGTGACTCTGTCGTCCCTTGCGATCCTGATCTACTCTTCCCCGTGACCTCTGTTGTTACTCTTGGATCATCTGCTCTTAGCCAGAACATTTGAATAGCCAATTTCAGTGCCTACCACTGCTGGTGATTGTGAGCAATCAGCTCCGACCAGGTATCCCATTGCTGTGACAATACAATTATAGGGTTATCCCTGAGTGAGTTGCGGGTTCTATCAATACATGGCTGTCAATTGTTGCCTGGAGACTCGAATGACGATCAACAGGGACATTGATAGTGATCTTGCCAGCTCTCTGTCCATCAGTCACTTCATCATTGCAATGTCTTTGAGTGAATTCATCAAGAAATCTAGAAAGACCTCTCCCATTCTTTTTCTCTCTCTCACCGTCACTCGCATTACCTCTTCACTACTTTTCATTCTTTCATTCTTTCACTGCTTTTCGTTCCTTCTCTCTCATTCTCGTTCCCTACTCGAATTGTGCGTGTTGATGTAACGCAATCTTGGGCTTCTCCTGTTCTCTCCTGTCTCCTCTAAGGATCAATGCTACTCCCAACTCGTACCAATTTTTCATTCCTGTCATTCACCAGCAAAGAGTTAGTAATCCTATAACCATAACATGTTTCACCTTAATCAAGTCGAATGCTTGCGTTCTTCCGCGGGTTTGAGCTATCCTTCTGGCTTCCTCCACAATCTCCTTTGCCTGGATTGGAAACATAGAACCAATATTGGTATAGCGATACACTCTTCACTGTCATCAATTTCACTAGTCACAATAACCATCACATATCCAAAATACCACAGAAAACACACCCGCCATTTTACTTCTTACACCGTATATAGCACAGGTGCACAGTAAGAAATGATAGACTATTCTGACACTGCTCAATACTTAACATCATGCCCAAAAGAAGTTGACTAAAACGAAGGGTAAACAGAAATGCTCTGTACACGATGATGATACCCAATACACCTTGAAGTAGGCAGTGAGGAAATAGACTAGTGAAGAACGCATGCTAGTCTTCTCTTATGCACTTCATCTACAGAAAGTACTCTTTCATCATATTCCAACCGGCTTCCATGGAGATCGTCCATGTTATCCAAATTTATGTAAAGCTACGTGTTTCAGGAACAACAATCATATCAAACTGATAAGAACTTGTACAGGTGAGGGGACGGGGGGAGGGGAGTAGTTCCAGAGCAAAGGTTTTCACAGTAGCCGAGCATGTTTTCACAGACAAAACTGGTAGACCTATTCATAACACAACCTACTTTTTTCAACTCTTACCTCATCATATGCTAGCTTGATCCAGGTGACTTCCAGCAAGTAGGGTACACAACCTGCTTCCCCTGTGTACGCTGCATCACCAAGAGGAGTTCTCCCAACCTACACAGCCATAGCAGCCACAACAAAACCAACATAACGATATCACGGGTACCTGAACTCTACTGGAACTGACGACAATTGCCATATCGTGGAATGGATGGATCCTGTGTGGTCAACATCAAGCATTCGTTAAGCGGGATTCACAGAAGCTTTTTTGCGATGCGACACGCGATGCGACGCGATCTGCGACGGACGCGTGCGATGCGAACTCGCGAAATACCATTCACAGAAGAAGTCAGTGATGCGACAAAATCTTGCTGATTTGGCTACGTCACCATGATATTCGCGCGGTTTGATACAACTTGTACAAATTTTTAGGCAACTCTTGAACCTTTGTACAACTTTGCAGTAGAAAAGGTCAAAATCGTACGCCAAATCGCTTGTCGCATCGCATCGCATCGCAAAAGTTGAGCCAAGCTCAACTTCTGCGATGGCCTGCGATGACCCAGTTGCGGCAGTTGCGTGGGGTGCGACAAGGCTGCGATTTGGGGTTTTCCCGGTTTCGCGCCTGTCGCATCGCGTATCGCATCGCAAAAAAGCTTCTGTGAATCCCGCTTTACTCATATCTCTGAAATCAATGTGGCCATCTATGACCAGAACAATTGGCAATAATAGTATTGTGTTCTCGTGCTCTACAATTATGTTCATTGTGTTGTGCTGTGTTTCCAAAAAAACACATTCTAACCGTTTTTTGCACAGAGATATACTAGGCAGTCTTGTCCCGTAGAATAATAATTGCTGTTTTTGTATAAGCGCTGCAAGCCGCATGATCAACTGGACGACTGCGCCTCCCCTCCCCCCCCCCCAATCCACGCCACCTAATCCACGCCCACCCTCTCACAACAGGAACTCTTGCCACATAAGGTGATGTTAGTTTGATGAAATTTTGTCCATAGTTTTTTTGTGTACACCTTCCCTTGGCTCAACTGTAGACCCGTAAATCATGTGAATTTTCGGCCATTGCTTGCTAATAGTGTGGCTGTCTTAAACAGAGTTGATTTGATGAAAGCTTCAAGAGCACCGTTCATTACAAAAGAGGTGATAACACCCACCATGGCACCCACCCACTCACCCACGCACGCACACACGCATGAACGCAAGGACGCACGCATACACACAGACACACACACACAGACAAACTTACACACACATACACACACACACATACACACGCCTGTCCTGTGCTGTAGAGCCACTACCACTAGGGTCACGTGGGCCCCGGAAGGGCAGCAGAGAGAGAGAAAGAGCACGCCACCCGATGGCGCTCCAGATGCGAGACTAGACGGAACCGGCGAGAGCAGATACACATATGAGGGAACTTGTCCCGCTCTCTAGCCGTTGGACGGTGGCAGCGCGTTGAACAGCGAGGGCGGTTGCATCCCTGGGTTGAGCGGAAACAATGATTGCAGATGTCACAATGAGCATTGCAGCAACTCCGAGCAGTAGTGTCACCGGTGACAACAGCAGCTGGTTCGATCGGTACTGGGCACAAGGTAGAAGCGGAGCAACGATGCACAGCCAAACCACCGCGGCTCCGGAACCAACGATGACACCGAGGGCACTGACATGCAACTCTCTGGTCCGAAACCGGCTTCTGCCGTTCAGCCATGCACTTGTGCCTAGCGAGGTCGCCCTGACGTGCGAAGTGCCGGGCGCATGTAAAGCAAGTCACCGGTGCCGGTCCGGGGGGATCCGGGGCTTCCGAGGTGTAAGCCAGCCTTCAGTCTGGGCGAAAGTCACGGGCCACTCTGTACCAGTCCGCTTCAAGGTCTCGTGAGCGGAGGTCCTTCACAGTGCAGTTTTTCCACCGCCGACGTGGGCAATGTGCCGGGCGACGAGATGGCAGGGTGCCGAACAGCAACTGTTTGGGCAATCGCACGTCGTCCATGCGGGCGAGATGGCCTAGCCACTCGAGGCGCCGATGCTGAACCTTGGTGACGATAGTTTAAGAGTCACCCCACCACTCAAGCAGCTGGTTGTTTGATATGTGTTCATCCCAGCAACGATGGCGTGTGATACGCAATATCGACCGCACGCATCGCATGTGGAAAACAGACATGCGGCGGAGGTCCTGCTTCAGCGGCGTCCAGCACTCGGACCCATACAGGAGCAGAGACTCGACACAAGCATTTTATAAAAACACACAGCGTTCAATATAAAGATCTAAGTTCTTGTTCCTGAAAACAGATTGCTGCAGAGCACCACAAGCCCGGGACGCACTTGCAACCCGAGCGCTGAAATCCTGCGATGAACGGCCGCCACAGTGGATGATGCACCCCAGGTACTTGATTTCCGGCACTCACTCGATCTCCACATCGGCAAGCTGCATTGGCGCCTGGTCCGCAGCCGTCACCAGCTCTCGTGACCAAGAACTTGATTTTGGTCGCGCTCACTGTGAGGCCGAACTCCGAAGCGGTCGAGTTGAACAGATTCAAGGCAGTCTCATTACCAGCAGGCGATGTTGCAAACAGGGACACACACATACACACACACACACCATGTACCACACACACACAATCCCTGTACTGTACTGTACTTGCTCATTTCCATGACTGGTCACGCGAGTCTCCCTCAAAGAGGGGAGAGAGATTTAAAAGGAATCTTGGAAAAGTGACTCAATTGGCTATTGAACCGCCCAACGGCCGACACCCCCAAAACTCTGGGTGGACTTGGAAATGATTCCACTTATCGGCTCACCATACCTCAGTAAGCGGGTGAGGACAAGGTGCAGAACAAGGATAGCAGGCATCAGGGTATCCGTCCCGGGATCCAACTGCAGTTACCCCTGCCCCAGTGAAGGTAATACTTGTTACTGGTGTGGGTGGCCATAATCAAAAAGAATCTGACATTAGCTTCACTAGCGCCATGATTACACAAGAATTAATGTAGCAAGAAGTAGTCCATGGGTAACAGGTATGTATACTTCAAATCGAGAGAATCTGAACCCTGAAACCAACACAGGTAGCAGGTACAACATTACGCCTTCAAGCAGCCGAGCCCATTGGCAACAGACCCAACACTCTCTGGCATAAGTATACCCACCAACTTACCTAGCTGGCACCACACACGCACACCCCCCCCCCACACACACACACAAACGCATGCACGCACGCACGCACGCACACACACACAGATACGTGTATATTATGCCATAGGAAAATGACCTGCATAAGACCACACCGAAAAAAGTCTTTTGTTTCGGGTAACATGGCCAGAAAATACCGGTTGGTCGGTCGGTTTCTTTCTTTTTTTGATGACAATTTTTATGCATTCAAAACTGTGCCGGTATGCATATACCGATATGAGTACAGTACATAACCAAGATAGAAAATGTGTGGTGGATAAAGCAGGCATACAATGTAGACTATAATAGCAATCAACAGCTCAATTAGACCGCCAGGAAGAGTGAAACTGGTCATATACTCCGACACCGAGCAGAGTAGAGCTCCAAGACGTTGCGCATCAACACATCATTCAGCGATCGTCGCGGGCCAGAAACTACATCTTCCTGTTGCTCCAACGCAGAGAAAAAAATTGGCGTCCGAACTGCAATTGAAGTCCAACATTATTACTCTTGTCAGTACTGTTGCGGCATGGCCCCGTTTTGGGAGCAAACACTGCTTTGAAGCGAGTGATGACTTCTGGATGAAGAGTTTCCAGCAAATTACTCAGGGCACTTTGCTCGAACAACACAGCTGTTGACGATGGCCCAGCCGCCATCAACATAGTTACGGAAACGTTTTGCCGCTAACTTTTTGAGACTAAAGCATGTCAGGGTCGAATACGTTACATTTGGCAAATAGAACCACAATGCAACAAATCCGACTCGATCAAGTCAACTTGAAACAAAGGACAAAGGACGTCTAGCCGGCCAGAGCCTCGCCAGGAGCAGTAGGAAGGAGCCTTGGCATTGGCACAACTTGAAGTGCGAGCACGTACATGTATATCCACATGCGTATGATGTACATATGCATGAGTGCATACAACAAAGAAGTATCGGTCTCTGCTCAAAACAGAGGGCGGTTGGGTTACACGGAACTAAGGACTTTTTCGATGCGGGCTGATGTAGGGAATCTAGATTCTAGTCAGTCATTGGCCAAAGACATCCGCTGGCACACATTCTGCCTCATTCCAATGTGTATCACTGTGGAACAGGCTCCAGCCCGACATCAGGAAAATCCCACAGTACCACCGATTCATGCGATCCCTCCCAGCACATGCTGCTTTTCAGTAATGCCACTGCCCGCTGTACTATTATTTCCTTTACTGGCCTAACTGGCTTTAACAAAGTAATACTTTACTACCCACTCTACTCAGTGTCATTACCTTCATTGGCCTTTTATAATTTATTCTCCTTTTTAGTCGATATCATGTAATTAGGCAAATTTGCCTGTTTGTTCTTCGACTCTAAATAAACAAACAAAAAAAAAAAAAAAAAGTTGCACACTCTTGTGTTATACACCCATAATAATTACAGTGCCAGAGAATATTTTACTCACTTTGTTCTTCACAGAAACTGTGTAGGGTTGGAGATCTACTAGATACTTGACCACGTCCAGATGTCCGTTCCAAACAGCGTAATGAACAGGAAGGGAACCGTACTGTGTGCAGGTAAAGACAAAACAAGACATTCGCATGTGTTATCTATCTACAGTCTGTATCTTACACAATTATGATGTATAACCTACTGTGACTAAAGTTTTACATGTTATCTGTACTTACCCAGCTCTAAGAATTATAAGCATGATTCTGATTAGTCATAACGTGTAAAAGTTAGCACAATAGTGACAGCTGTGGTACTTGCCGTGTCATGCTATGTATTATGCGTTTCTCTTGAGCACGTGTCACCCTTACATAACGTGTACACAAGTTACGTGTACCGCAACATGTACATGCCCGCGCAGTACCTCTTACAGCTGGGGTCTGCTGATGCCACATTTAAAAGAGGTTTCTCCTTCATATTGCCTGTGAATCAATAATACAATAGTATCCTAATTCCTAAAGAACCAGAATACAACATGGTGTCAGAAGTGCTAGAAGTTGCAGAATTACTACGATGTCAGTATATGAGAGGTGCTTTATGCAGGTATCAGTGCCGGGTAGGAGAGTCACCAATAGTCACAGGTACTTTTGGAGCAAATGATTGGTGAGGTTGCTGTTGTTTCAGCCTGATATTCCCCCACCAATAGACATACTAAAAAAGAATTCGGGTGGACACACCCATTCCCATAGCGCTGCACATCACATCCGAACCAGTCCCGAATTCTTTTCACAGATGAAGCTGCAGGAAGCCTCAGTTTGTTTGTTTGTTTGTGCCATCGGCATGCCTGGCGCTATCCCGTACCTGTCCCGTACGTACTGTACCACGAAAGACAGCCGGCCACAATATTCAAATAGGGCTTTCAAATGCAAGATCAGAACGTGAAGCAACTTGGAAGAATGAGTATGTATGCGAAGTGTATCGGGGAATGCATGGAGGGCGATAGTGCGGGTTCTAATCCTAGGTTATGTCTTGGGGAAAAAAAGGAGAAATGAACAATTCATAACATCCCTATCCATGTTTTGCCTAGGTCATCAAGGTGTTAGACGGTGTCGTATTACTCTCGAATGCAAAGAGAAAGGCTATTTTTTTCGCGCAGGGCCCTATGCTATGCTTTTTTTGGCTAGCTCATCATGCATGTAATTCGAACAGACAGAATGTTTTTGCAATGCAATGATATAGCCGATCAGTTCGTTGTGGTATGGTTGGGCATTGAAGCTGTCATACTCGACGTAAAAAACTATTTACATACACAAGCTCAGGGAGCAAAAGTCTCTTTGTCCCATAAGCTGCCACATACCAACTAAATACAAAACCATGCACTTCACACGAGCTGACTTGCACGCGTGGCCCTTTTCACGAACCCAGACAAAGGGATTGGTCTATTATAACGCATATACGAAGTCACTAGATTACACCCGCACCAGAGATGAAGGCAAGAGCTGTGGCCGAAGAACGGCAAACGGAAAAGATGCCTGGCGCTATCCCGTACCTGTCCCGTACCGGACCATCAAAGACAGCTAGCCACAATATTCAAATGAAAAATAGGGCTTTCAAATGCAAGATCATAACGTGAAGCAACTTGGAAGAATGAGTATGTAAGCTAAGTGTATCGGGGGAATGCATGCAGGGCGATAGTGTGGGTTCGAATCCCAGGTTATGTCTTAAAAAATAGGAGAAATGAAAAATTTATAACATCCCTATGCTTTTTTGCCTAGGTTATCAAGGTGGTAGACGGTGTCGTATTACCCTCGAGTGCAAAGAGAAAGTTTGATGTAGCCAATCAATGGAAAAAAAACAATTCCATCAGTTCTAATAACATGCATGATGAGCTAGGCAAAAAAAGCATAGCGTAGGGCCCTGAGCTTACAAGCTCTCTCGTTTTGGAGTTCTAGATTTTCTCAACCAGTTTTCATGAGGCCTTCATCAGGGAAATATGTCTCAACAATGATAACTAGCCATGAATACTACTAATAATTATATAAATGTGTAAATGAACAGGGGAAAGTGCAAAGATGTCAAGTTAGTGTGAACTAATGACACGGGTAGGCGGAGTGAAAACCAAAATAAGAGGGTAAATAATCACTACGCTTGAGGTAAATAACAGTGCAAGAGAGTGTAGAGTGTAGGTTGTGCGTCATGTATATGTGTGCTTTTGTGTGTGTGTGTATGTGTGTGTGTGTGCGTGCACGTGTGGTGTGTGTGTGTGTGTTGGGGGGGGGGGGGGCTGTGTATTTATGTGTGTGCGTATGGGACTGACCGTCAGCATTAGAAAGACGAAGGGCATGGCGGTGGGTGAACCAACATCAGTTGATCCCGTTCGACTCGGTGGTGACAGCAGGATTGACATGGTGGATGGGTTCCGGTACCTTGGCAGCGTGCTCTCTGCTGACAGAACGGTGGATGCGGACCTCGCTGCTCGTTTGGGGCAGGCGTCCCGGCTGTTCGGCGTGCTGATGTCTCCGATATTTCAGTGCGTACATCTCTCGGTCCACACCAAGCGGCTGGTGTATCGTGCTATTGTCCTTCCTGCTCTTCTCTACGGTGCGGAGACATGGCCCATCAAAGCGGGTCATATTCGGCGACTCAACACCTTTCACCATCAGTGTATTCGCACAATTCTCGGTATCTCTCGTTGTGAGCAATGGGAGGAGAGAAGCGGACTGGTATGACACAGCGCAGGAGAGATCCGTCTGGTTTCAGTATTGTCGACAGAGGGTCGAGAAGGAAGCCCCAGACATCCCGTGCCCCAACTACCGCTGTGACAGAGTGTTCCGTCGTCCTGGTGACTTCAAGCGGCATGCGCCATACTGCAGATTTCGGGTCTAGAACCTCAGTGTGACGAAGCCATCGCTATCATTGCTACGGCAATGGGCGTTCAAGGTTCAAGGTTCAAGGTGTATGCATGTGTTCATGTGTGTATGTATGTATGTATGTGTGTGTACGGGTACATGTGTGTGTGTGCGTGTGTGCGTGTGCTTTATTAACATGGCCACTAAGGGCGTTGTCTATGGAGTGACTGTGCTGGCCGTCCTTCTTTATGGCTCTGAGAGTTGGACCGTTAGGCAGCGTGATGCCCGTCGCCTGGAATCCTTTCATCTGCAGTGCGTGCGTTCCATCCTGAAGGTCAATCGTGGCTGGCAAATAGAGGAGCACATCTCCTCTCTCCAGGTGTGCAAGATGTGGGGCGATATGAAGGAGATCGCGGATAAAGTCAAAGTCTGCCGACTTCGATGGCTTGGCCACGTGTCCCGCATGCAGGATCGAATCCCTCGTCAGCTGCTGTACGGCTTGTTACCGTCCAAACGTCCACCGCATGGACCCCATAAGCGCTGGAAGGACTCCGCAAAGTGCGACTTGATGCCTGTTGGCGTTCCTCTGGAGCACCTTGGTGACATCGTCCAAGATCAACAGGGATGGCGGGCCACTTGCCGTGACGCTATTGTCCAGTCCCGCATGGAGCCTGTGGTGAAGCCCCTCATCTGTGGCACTTGTGCGCGCAGTTTTCGTCGGCCACAGGATATTGCAAGGCACAAATGTAACGCTGTTCGCGCAGCCCGCGCGCTGAAAAATGGCACAAAAAATAACTATTGGAGTTTGACGAGGAACGTGAATTGCATTCTGATTACTAGTATTTTGCAAGGCTAATACAGCCTAGTTACAATTTAATATACGACATAAATAGAAGAGCGTGGCTCACCATGATCGGACCCTAATATTAATGAAGGACACCCGCGCGCACACACACTACAAAATCACAAAATAAAATTAACCGAAAATAAATTTGACGATGAAGGACGGATGAAAAAGAAAGAGAGAAATAAAGAAAGTAGCTGACCTGCATGACTTGGACGAGACGAGGTTGACATCGAAGAGACGAGGTTGACATGGACGATACCAGGTTAACATAGACGAGAAGAGGTTGGAGACGAGACGAGGCTGGAGACGAGACGAGATGGACATGGACGAGACGAGTGGCGGTTGAGGACGAGGGTTGTGGGTTCCGAGCAATGGTCGGGCGCCAATGTTGAGTATGAATTAGGACAACGGGAACAAGTTAGGTTGGTGGAACGACATTTATTAGAGACGGGATGACTAAGACCAGGACGAACGAAACGACTACATGGTGATTATTGAAGAGTGAGAAAGAGAAAGAGATCAAGTATGAACGGCAAGATAAAGGGCCTGGGTAGCTATGGCAATTATGCGCGCGCAAGTAGCTACCCAGGCCAAAGGAACAAAAGGAGACAAAAGGTGAGTACGCAAGTGCATGCAGGCCAGCTAGAAGAGGTACGGGAGGAGGTAACTAACAGTTCCGCCTGGGTCTGACGCTGTTTGATTTCTCGATATCACACCTGTCAGGAAAGCACCTAGTCATTCCTGATGCACTCTCTCACTCTCCTGGTCTACAGTCGTCTTGTGCTAGTGCTGTACGTTTCATCGGAGAGGTTGAAGAGTTTGCCTCTGCCACTGTTGACAGCATGCCGGCCTCTGATGCTCGCCTTGCAGAAATCTGAGACCATCAGCTAAACGAACCGGATTGTAAGTTACTTCGCCAGTATGTCGAAAGCAGCTGGTCACATCCCAAACGTGTTCCACCTTCAATCTGGCTATACCACAACGCTAAAGACAACTTAACTGTGTGCTTTGGTCTACTTATGTATGGACAAAAGATTGTCATCCCAAAGGCCTTGCTCCTGATGTACTCGAGTGACTCAACTCGGGCCATCTTGGCATCACGAAGTGCCGTGCCCGTGCCAAGCAGTCAGTGTGTTTGCCAGGATTGAGTGTTCAGCTGGCCAATTTCAGCGCGTCCTGCAAACTGTGTGTTCAACACTCACCGCCCGAAGGTTTAAACGCTCCATCCTAACACTCTTCCCGACCTGCCATGGCAGAAGGTTGCAGCCGACTGGATGCAATTCTACTCCGCAAACTACCTGGTTGTAGTATATTATTACTCCAGATATGTGGAGTTAGCATGTATGTCAGCACTGCCTGCTTAGGCCGCGGTCACACCGAAACAAGCCACTTTGGGCTTGTTATCGCTTGCGCTCAGCTGGCTTGTGTGCTCCCTGTCGAGCGGTCACACCAGACACCGAGTGCAAAGCTTGAATGGCTTGTTTTTTGCCCACCAAATTTTGAATGTCTCGAAACACACCAACGTTCGCAAGAGATCGGAAAGCAGAACAGTGGCGATCTACAACTTGTGTTCAGTTTTGATGAAGAAGTAGAAATCAAGAACAACAAGAAGCAAAGGAAGCCCGGATCCTGAATTGCGACTTCTTGCTCTTTTTATTCGTTCGGTGCACATGAACGCGATGATTCGGGTGACGGTGTTTCCTGATTTTGAGCTTTCTGCCCCGCCGATTGCTGTTCTTCAATTCCATCGCAATCCACTCTCTTCTTCGTACCTTTCTTCATGAATTCAGTCGTGAGTTTGGTGCCTTGTCTTGGCCTCGTACCACAGCTCCAACAATCTACGCTCTAGAGGAACCGGCAGTCCAGGAATCCATGGTTATCAGAGAAAATCAAACTGAACTATTGGATAGACAGACATTGTCAAAACCAAAGCCAAGGTGAAGGCATACATGTAGCACGGAAACAAGAAAGAACATCGATATCAGTTCGCCGCCTCGTGTTCACTACAAGTCTACATGAATGGTGTGTCCCAAGCGCACTCAAAATAATTTTTGAATTTCGGCAGCCGCTTGTACAAGCTGTGGCTGAAACAAGCTGAAAAAACGGCTGCGAGTCAGCCACGGCTGAAAGTCGCTTGCAGGACATTTTCAGCCATTTCCATGGTAATCGTGACGTAAACAGGCGCTTTTTTGGCTGAATGGCTGAATCGAGCTCGGTGTGATCGCTGCCTAAGCCTGTTACAGGGATCAATTTATCCGGGTTCGCATCGCAGTTTGCGAATCAAAATTCACTGGCTGCGATTCGCTTTTCGTTTTTTATCGCCCAAAACTGCGATGCACTACAGTACAAAGACCAGCTGTGTGCAGTCTACATGCGACTGTTGTACACACTGCTGACTAGGGAGTAGTATTTTACTACTCCAACCAACTGGCCTGTCCTGCTCAGTCCGCGCGCGGGTAGCGGATCGCGCTCTTTCGATTTTGGACACTGCACTAGCACTGGGCGTACATGACTGCAGTCTTCTGAAGTTTTGTAGATCTACACCGCGGTGACTTTTCCTGATGTTCTCACCTGCCTTTCTTCTTTCACTGTCGACCGTCAAGCTCAGTTAGTTTCTGTTCGACAAGGCACAGTTGAAGTAGATGGTTCTTAGTCTCATGTAGCCAACATGTCAGTGAATGATCTGATCAGTGATTCACTGTCCAGAAGAGGGACAAAGAACTCAGTGGACGCGCCAGGAATGTCGATTCGTTTCGATGAAGAAAAGGAGAAAAGCGAAATTCGATGCGCTTTGCACGAAATGTCACGATCGTTTGAGCGCTTTCCTGAGGTTTCTTTGTCGGAGGAATCAGTGGAACTGCCCTGTTCAAGGACATTGTGTTGTGAAGAACTCGAAGTCGGATGGACGCTGAACATGTAACGTGCCCAAGCGAAAACTCTAACGTAAATATTCAGGTCGAACATTCACTTGGAAAAGCAAATAGCAACTGCAGCTATTGTCCTCTTCTGTACGAAATCCTGCTATTGTACAGCTATACATGTAAACTTTTGATGAAGGAAAACTGCTAATCAATACTGGGAGTTGCTAGTCAATTGTAAAACTGTGTAGCAGTGACTGCTATGCAAAAAAATCAAAGTAAATCGATCCCTGTGTTATCAACGAGTTGTAATCCATCTTCGGAACCCATATTTTCCTTGAGACGTTTGTCTCCGACCATGGCCCACCGTCCAGAGCGTACAGCTTGAAACCTACCTGCAGCAGTACGGCATACATCACCACACGAGCAGTTCGCTGCATCCGCAGGGCAATGACCTCGCCGAGCATACGGTCAGAGTCAGTCAAGTCGCTACTAGTAAAAGCGTTTCACCTTTATGGCGCGCTGCTAAGCTATTGCTCAACACCCCTCGAATGCAGGTTCAACCCAGCATAGCTTCTCATGGGCCACCATCTACAGTCCCAGACAACACTCAGCTCCTCGCGGCGGGAAAAATTGCAATTGCGGAACATGCTTTTCGTCCTTTTTCCTTCAACATGACACTGCGCAACGATCAAAACCCCACACTGTGATGGCATAGATTGCCGCATATGTGGCTAGTAGGTTACCGGGTCCCCAGCTTCGCCAAACTACGGACATTGGTAGACAGTAGAGCCGTGAGTACGCCTATGATTCTAATGACTACACCGGGGAGTCGCAACTCTCGAGTAAAAGCCACGACTATCTGGTCTACACTATACTAGCACTATGACTCGTTGATTGTCAAGATTACAAGCATTGAGTGCTGCCACATACAGTCAACTTCGTTTATAACGACACTCGGCGGGGCATCAAAAAGGTGTCCTTATTCGCGAAGTGTCGTTATACACGAAGTCTCATTATATGTATTACAGTTGGAAGGGACTTTGCTCTGGGCATGGAAATGCTGTCGTTATTCGCGAATTGTCGTTATATCCGCAGTCGTTATTAGCGAAGTTGACTGTACTTCCTCCGCTTCATTAAAATTGTCACTTCGCACATCGCTATGTTTGTGACTTGGCTCATCTTAGTCAGATAGTCCGAATCTCTGTTTTCTGTGTTCGAACATTGGTGCGACCCTTCCTGCGCAATGTCTACTTGTTACTGAAGCCGTGGTGGTCTCGGACTTTGTCGGAGCTCTCTTTCGCACCAAGCAAATTGATTGCGCTTCGCACAAGTCCGCCCCAGAGCGCATATCGTTTTTCTGGAGCTCGTGCCGTCCCACATCGTTCCCGTGGGCAAAGCTGCAAGCTCGAGTGTAAGACTCCTGGTATCTCTCCTGAATATGAAATGCTGAGGTTGACAATGGCAAGAACAAAGTGTTCTCAAATTCCTAAAATGTGGTACTTGTGGCGCATGTTGCTGCAAAGGTAGCAGGTCTGAAAACCCCAACAAAATCGGCGAAGCGCTTGCCAAGGAAAGAAGGTGCGGAACTGCTTACCCTATCCCGCTGGAAGGTCGTTACAGCGTACTTGAAAAATGCTAGCTTGTCTTCATCGCCTGCCACCTGGAGGCATGGATCGCTTGAAAACAAAGTTTCTTGACCTGAATTTGAACGTGCGCCATGTTCAGCGTATTGTTGAGTGCTGAAGGGTCTGTCTCAAACTCTGATGAAGACGTCGATCTTAGCTGCAAGTGCAGCGAAGCGGAAGGCCACAAACTAAAGCTTGGTCCATTGACAATGCTCTGCCTCAATTTCTACCTGATTTCTTTGCCTTTCGAGTGTAGAAAACAATTTGGAAAAATCGCTGTGGGAAGTGACAGTTTTAATGACGCGTAGGAAGTACATGTACATGTACTAGTGTTGCACGCTCACCGGTGCACTCACTAAACTACATTGAAAACATCATTGCAAAGAGGTGCGTTTAGCACATTAGAGGGGTTTCCGGGCAACAGGAACCTACCCCATGCGTATGCGCCTGCACTCATTTGCCAAAGGTGCACACTCTTTGCTTATAGACTCGTGACCATTACAGTTCAAGAGATTTCTTAACTCACTCTGTTCTCTACGGAGACCATGTCGGGCTGGACATCTAGTAGATACTTGACGACTTGCAGATGTCCAGTCGCAGCAGCGTGATGAACAGGAAGTCGACCAGCCTGTGTGCAGGTAAAGACAAGATCAGACATTCATATGTGCAATCTATCTGCAGTCTGTTTCTTATATAATATGATGCGCAATCTACTGCGAGTCACGGGATTCTAATGTAGGCTACTCTGATTGCTCAATTGGCAATGTTCCTCTAAGCTAGGTCTAGAAAAAACAATTGAACACATTAGCATCTCACGATACACGACAGTGGCTTCTAAACACACACACAGACACACACACACACACACACACACACACACACACACACACACACACTCACTCACTTAAACATCCTGCAATGGAAAAATGGCACTTAGGGAATGTACCTTGCTACTACCAAATAAAACCATTACTTTCTGGCATTGAGAATGGTCTATTACACAAATAAAACCATTACTTTCTGGTATTGAGAATGGTCTATTACACAAATAAAACCATTACTTTCTGGCATTGAGAATGGTCTATTACACAAATAAAACCATTACTTTCTGGCATTGAGAATGGTCTATTACACAAATAAAACCATTACTTTCTGACATTGAGAATGGTCTATTACACAAATAAAACCATTACTTTCTGGTATTGAGAATGGTCTATTACACAAATAAAACCATTACTTTCTGGCATTGAGAATGGTCTATTACACAAATAAAACCATTACTTTCTGGTATTGAGAATGGTCTATTACACAAATAAAACCATTACTTTCTGGTATTGAGAATGGTCTATTACACAAATAAAGGCATGGATAGTCTACGTACATAACTCCTTTGAACTGCAATGTACACATCATCTATCACACTACATGTCTGCATTGATATCAGACCAGGTGTGTTTGAAACTGACTGGACTAGGAAACATGTGACAATGCTACATTGCTACTCCAAAATGTACTTCTCAATACACATTATGGTTGAATGAATTTATAATGTTACGCTCGACCGACACCAGTCAATTATCTAGTCCTACTCTCCACCCATAACCTCAGAATGATTATCATGCTTCTTGCATGAAATGGTGTGCTTGGATGGTAAGTTTCACCCATGTTCCTGACAACATGGTTCACATTCCCTACAGCCTACCAGAGTACTTTACTCACCATCACCAACTATCCACACACTGTCTTCTATTCTACAAGTAATCTCAGCATCGGTTCTAAAATGAGCGCGTACATGTCACGGACATCGTCTAATAATCCATGGGTGTCGATATTTGTGGTAATAAAATGGTTATGAGTTTCCAATCTGAAACAGCCACCAATGTGGTTCACAAGCATAAACACGAGTGCTGTACAGGCAAAGTCTGGCATCTCTGACTAGTACATGAGCCAATATTGAGTCATCCTTCAATGTACAGGCAGAGTGGTGTGCAACTTACCGAATCAGTTTTGTCCACCTTGGCTTTACACTTGACAAGGTGCTTGGCAATATCGATGTAACTCATCATACATGCTATATGTAGTGGAGTGTAACTCCATCCACCCTAGTAAGAACAACATAGGTAGTGTAGGCATGTGTATACCCACACACATCACACATGTACAGACCGCCAGCCCAGCAACACGTACACACAAACACACGCGTACGAACACACGCACACACACACAGAACACACACACACACACACATGCACACACTCATACATGCACACACACACACACACACACACACACACACACACACACACACACATGCACGCACGCACAGAACACACACACACATAGACACACACACATACAGACAGACAGACATATACACACATACTTGTACTTGTTGCTCACTGCCGAAACAGGTCACGTGGCTCTCTCCGGGAGAGGGGAAAGAGACTCGAAAGGAATCTTGGAAAGATGACTCAATTGGCCATTGAACCGCCCAACGGCCGAAACCCCCTGAAATCCGCAAAACTCTGGGTGGACTTGAAAATGATCCCACTTATGGGCTCACCACACCTCAGTAAGTGGGCGAGGACAAGGTGCAGAAAAAGGATTGACGGCATCAGGGTATCCGTCCCGTGATCCAACTGCAGTTACCCCTGCCCCCAGTGAAGGTAATACAGGTAGACTCCCTCTAATTCGAACCTCAAATCGCCAGGCCCTAAATTCGAATTATCCAGAACTTCTAATTATCCAAATGCAGTCCCATGTACTGATATGTACGTCAAAATGCTCGCAATTGTGTCCTGATTATTTTTGCACATTTTATTTGCATCAACGAAACATAGGTGAACATGAACAACGAGATCAGTTCATTTCACCAAAACACTGGATCGACACGAAGTCATTGGACATTGTTTTCATCTTCTACGAAGTTCTGTGAAGCAGTTCTCAATCGCTGCAGTTGTCCTGAAACGATTTCAACGCAAAAGAACAGCGCTGCCTTCTCTGCGTCATGAAAGCCCGGCGGAGACCAGCACCTCGTTCTGAAGAACGGGAGTGGAGCATAGGCATAGGCAATTTTTACGACTTCCAGTTGTTGTTCAGTCCCAAACTTCTTTGCGCATGAACTGGCGCGGCATGACAAGCCATTGAGATCCGCGAAGGGAGCCAACCACCTGGAAGAAGTCGTCTTTCTTCGCCTCTCTCCAGTCAGACGTCTCCTTTGTCGCCAAAGGGAATCGCAGGGACCTCCTCAAAGCCATTGTAGAATGCTGGGAGGATTATCCTGGCGAGAAAATGCGAAGCGGGTGAATGTGCTTGTACGACTCGTTTCACGGCATAATGGAGGTTGCGGTTTGGAACGATTGAATAGTCGACACCGATTCGTACACAGCTCTGGAGATGAAGAGGACGTAGCCAAAGTCCAGCGTCGGATCATCACTGTAGCTGAAGAGAATCTGAACGAAATGCGAGCGGAAGCAGCGACTGTTGGCGATGCGGAGTCAGTGCCGTCAGGTGACAATGACACGAGCGACGAACACTCTGAAAAAACACAATCTCATTCGTTTGAGTTGCTTTTTTCTTTGTATATAGCTTGTAAACAGGTTAGACAATGCCACGAGTGTTATTCCAAGTCAAACGGAACAATTCCAGAGCTGTGCGCAGCTTTCAAAAAAAGTCACGAAGTTTTTTTATACGGAGGAAGTATATGAACCCTGGAACCAACAAAGGTGGCAGGTACAACATTACACCTTCAAGCAGCTGAGACCATTGGCAACAGACCCAGCACAATCAGGTATAAGTGTGCCCACGAACCGGACTAGCTGGCACACACACACACACACACACACACACACACACACACACACACACACACACACACATGCGCAAACGCACATATGCACAAGCATAGCTGCATCATTGGTCGCAATGGTATAGCAATGTTCACTGCTTTTTAAAGAACATTGTTGAGATCGCAAGGGCCTGTAGAAACATGCCCTGCAAGTTGTGGATCTGATCTCTGCTAATTGGTATGTATAGTGAAGATGTTGCACTGTATTATACCTATTGACTGAAGCCATACTAAACAATGGTCATGGTTATGTACACTGTATCCCAAGCTAATTTTAATCCTGTAGAAAATGTCTGCAATGCTCTGCTCGTTGTTGTCTGAACAATAGAAGTAGGGACTCTACTGACTCACTCAGTACCCTTGCTGGAAGCATTCAAAGAGGTACTCGATAGGGGATAAGGCAGGGTAAGGGTAATTAATGGATTGACATACATCATTACTTCACATACGGCAGGTCAACAGGAGCTGGCTATCATCCTATGACATAGCTATCCATTAGTGACTTCGATTTATTTTTTATTTTTTTAAGGTAAACGCTATTTGATTAAAAGGTCCAGAATGATAAACGTAGAAAGGAAAAGGACATATGGATACGAGTTAAGAGTAACTCTCCATCACTGTAACTGGATACTATATACAGTCAGAAAGTGCAATAACTAGGCACAAAACTGACAAGAGTACTGAGACATTCAACGTATATAGTATCCAGTTACAGTGATGGAGAGGTACTATTAACTCGTATCCATATGTCCTTTTCCTTTGCACATTTATTTATGGCTCAACATCACAGTTTCAAATAATGATAAATTCCTTTGGGATTTCAAGGCAGAGTACTCCTGACGTAGCTAGACATTGACCTGCAAGTCTTGTTTGAGCAGAGTGATACCACCGATATCACATACCTGCATCCACCCATTCTACTCGATATGGCATTTGAGGAATGTCACACTGTTCTGACTACAGCAGTCAGTATCTTATAAGTTGCTAATTTGCGCTGAGTCATATGTTTACTTCCTGAATGCTGTGTTTCACCCATATCTGACATAAAATCATGCCGCTGAACGAGACTCTCGTACTTTAAAAAACTTGTAGTTCCTTGGTCCTTTCTTCTTCTATAAATTTAAAAAACTTATTAAAATGATGTACCTCCTAACCCCCTACCCCCCCCCCCCCCCTCTTAGTGTTCACATATACATGCACATGCATGGACTGTAGTGTTCACATATACATGCACATGCATTGACTGTCATACGCATGTATGCACGCGACACCGTTTGTGCTGCTATCCATTTACATTTTCCGCTTCCCCTGTACGCATGCACGCACACCACTACATTCTGTTGGCATCATGTCACAGAGCTTTCCAGAGCTAGTTGTTTGGAATAAAGCAAGAGAACAACATTACACCCCCCCCTAAAATCCCCCTCTTACCTAACATTACTCCCCCCTTACTTTTAAACATTACACCCCCTTTTACCTAACATTGCACCCCCCGCTTACCTCCCTGCTTACCTAACATTACACCCCCTTACCTAACATTACACGCCCCCCCCCCCCTACCTCCAAGTTACCGAGCAGTGTGCTTAGCACCTTGGACAGTGTCAGCAATGCAAGTACACATACACAGACCTACCCCATAGCGATGGTTGATGACTGTTTCTCCGCAACAGTCTGCAAGGAAGCAGGCACACTCCAGGCGGCCAAGATCGCAGGCCGCGAATAGCAGCCGACCCTGGTATGCAGAAATGGTATGAACACAAAATCAAGCAACATACACACGCACGCACGCATGGACACACACATACACACACACACACGTACTCACGCAAACACACACACACTCTCACACACACACACACACACACACACACACATGCATACACACGCACGCACACATACACGAATACACACAAGCATGTATATTCAAACATTGATGTACATCCATATCCACATACTTGTTCTTTCTAACAGACAACAACAGTTGCTGGTCACTTGGGTCTCCCGAAAAGGGGAGAGGGACAATCCATTAATTATGATATTTCAAGATTACTTAAAAGTAGCTATGAAACGACCACTTTTCACACCAAGGTGAATGTCTGGACCCTGGGTGGTTTGGAGATGATCCCACATAGTCTGGACTGCTAAATCAGAGTGGGTCTGATAAAGGATTCACTGGTACCATTGATTACACAAAAAATAATAAAAAACGTCCGAAAGTAGTCCACTGGTACATATGTATGTATATTGTGAACATAGACTAAGAAAGATAGGAGAAATCACATGGAAACGAGTCACGAAGCAACTATCCACGACTGTAAGAAGATATTACTCAGTCAGAAAGTGCGATAACAGGGCACAAAACTGACATGTTACTGAGACATTCAACGACCAGAGACCTAGCTTTCACACACCTCCAGTGCGCAAACCAACAGCCTTCCAGCTTGGAAGGTTCAAGGTTAATGTAGGGCCAATGAGGGGAAGGTGAGCGCAGCGAAAATGTGCACACGCTAAGTCCCATGGCAACAAAGAATGCTTCCCCTTTTCTTTATCTCTAACTAGCAGCACCCCCGCCAGCGTTGCCTGGCCGAATGTGGCATGCGCGGGTGAAGCAAGTACATGAACAGCACACGTGCTCAGCACGTGGTGGTGGCCAGACCTAGACCGCTGAAGTCCTGGTGAGGGAGGTTCTTCATCGTTGGAAGGAGAAGGAGGGACGTCTGTTACGCCTTCGGGAGGCTGGTCAGGGTTGTCCATCACCTGGTGGCGGATGAAGCGGCTCAAAAAGTTCAAAAACTTACGAACAAAAGTGCGATGCGCTCTTCACTGCAGATCAGATGCAGAGTGCAGTCAGTGCAGATCTTTTGTATCCTTTTGTTGGAGATGTTTCTATTTGCAGAGAACGGTTCACGTGGTCCGCAGCGCTTGTGCGGCTGCTAGTGCTACCTATGGCCTAGGCTAGGTGGCTACATGATTCGCTCGCTTCGCGTGCTCAGTGCTTCTGCGCGCGGCTGCTACTGCTACTCGTACTGATCGTGTCTGCTATAGTATAAGTATAAGCGCTACCACCGTAGAAATAAAAAATCCAAAGGAAATACGACAATTGTACTGCGTCTGTAGCTTGTGTTGTAGCGCACCCATGTTCTGAATTCCTGCTGGGTGGGTCAAGCCAAACCCTCTTCCCTGTTCCATCGCCTCTCCAAAAGTATATTCTGACATTGTTGAGATTTACAGATGAGAAATTGCACACCTGTCAAATCGTTTCTGATTCGAGCACCCGGGTCTACGTACCTCCACTGTTCGCACGCTTCGCGTGCTCAGCACGTGGTGGTGGCTACACGATTCGAACGCTTCGCGTGCTCAGTGCTGTGGCTGCTTCCGCTAGCTACACGATTCGCACGCTTCGCGTGCTCAGTGCTTCTGCGGCCGCTAGCTACACTGTGCTACACTGTTCGCACGCTTCGCGTGCTCAGGGCAGCGCTGCTCCGCAGCGCTTCAGCGTGACACAAAAACACACGTCACAGGTGCCTCTTCTTTATAAGGAGCGTGACACACACACAGACACACGTCACAGGTGCCTCTCTTTTAATTATAAGTAAAGATATAGCTGGCCCACCCAAGTTGGGTGTTGTGTTGCTTTGCTGCTTCGAATTGTAGTTAGACCGCATTGTCATGTTATTAACTGGTCCCGTCATGGTCCTGTAACAGTCAGCATTCTTTGTCGCCGTGGGACTTAGCTTATGCACAGTTTCGCTTTGGTCACCTTCCCCTCATTGGTCTTACCATAACCTTGAACCTTCAAAGCTGGAAGGCTGTCGGTTTGCGCACTGGAGGTGTGTGAGAGCTAGGTCTCAGGTCGTTGACTGTCACAGTAACATGACAGTTTTGTGCCCTGTTATCACACTTTCTGACTGATTGATATATTGTTACAGTCGTGGATAGTTGCTTCATAACTCGTTTCCATGTCATTTCTTCTATTTTAATTCTATTTATTGGCTCAGTATCCGAGTTAAAGACTAAGAAGTGTGTATTGAAGTTGACACCAACACAGACGACAGGCACAACATTATAACAACAAGCAGTGGAGTCTGATGGCTATAGATCCATCCATGACCTCGCTATAGGCAGCTGTCACACACACGAACGCATGCACATATTCACACATGCGTGCACGCATGCACACAAACACACACCAACATACAAACACACATACGCCACACATACCCCCATACGCGCACGCGCATGCACACACACACACACAGCTTGTCCTGGTCCTGGTAAACACTGCCATTACGGTCACGTGTCCGCTTGCGGGGCCGACAACATGGAACGACGAGTGACGACAGAAAGTGGGCGATTTGCCGAGAGGTCAGGGACCATGTTCAATTGGTACCACGAGAGAGCCATCTCCGGCAGCTATGGATATGGAAGCCACGAGTAGAGCGGAAGCAACGACCACAGGCCCCACAGTGGGCCTTGCAGCATAAGAGATCGAACCGCACGCGCGGTGGCGGAGGAATGAGCTCAGCAGCAATGGTGGACACCGCTGTTCGACATGGAGCTTGAGACGATGCCGTGGGGAGCGCCTGGGAGATGGGGCACTTGTGGACTGCCAAACCTCCAGCACTGCGGAACCAGCGCTGGCAGGCAGAACATTGTCGGCTACCTCTCTATACTGATACAGGTTTGCGGCGCTCACCTAGGCATTTGTGACGAGGCAAACCACTCCTGGAGAAGAGACCACCACACTCAGCACAAGGTACCCGCAGGGGCGCACAAACGGGTTCGGGCGGGGGGGGGGGCAGAACATTGTAAGCGGCCCGCCGTTCCTGTCTATCCTCGGCAAAGTCGTACCGTTTGTCGATGCCCAACACCGCCAGATCCCTCCGCGCAGCATTGCGCCATCTTTTTCTCGGGCCGCATATCAGACGGACAGGATGCAGGGTACCAAACAGTAGCTGACGCGGGCACGCTCTTCATGCATTTGCACAACATGCTCAAGCCACTCCATGTGGCGCGATGTCAGCAGGCTGGGGATGTCACGGGGCTGACACGGATTCCATCGCGCCAGAAAATCAACCCTGGTCAGTCGTTCGTCCACCCATTACGAAACGAATGCAGCGCAGATGGAAAGAGCACAGTGCATCAAGGTCGGGCTTCAATGGCACCCAGCACTCAGCACAGTACAGAAGCAGAGATAACACGCATGCCTCGTACACAAGCCGCTTCGTAGCAAGGGAAAGGTTGCTGTCAAATGCATGTGATGCACCGGCAATGCGCGAGCTGAAATCCGGGGTGGATCGGCCATTCGTGTGAAGGAGAGAGCCAAGATAACGAAAACTATCTACACACTCGACCACCTCACCCGTCACGTCCAGGGGCAGCCGGTCTGCTTCCGTGAGTCCATATCCAGCAGCCATCACCTTTGTCTTGTCCAAGTTGACCGTCAAGCCGACAGAAGACGCTACATATATGAATAGGTCAAGGGCCCGCTGTGCACCATCATGAGTGGTAGCCAGCAAACACACGCACCCGCCCGCCTGCCCGCACGCATGCACGCACGCACGCACACACACACACACACACACACACACACAGACGCACATACACACACACACATAAGCCAGCCCTCAAAACCATGCATCCCCCCCCCTCCCCCAACACACACATACACACCTGTCCTGTAGTGCATCTGTTTCATAACATTACTATTCATATCTCCTCCAGAGAGGACACATGCCCGCACACGCACGCGCGCACGCACAGACCGATGCATACACACACAACACACACACACACACACACACACGAGCGCCCAGGGAATAACTCATAATTTTTGGGGCTGACGCTAGCTTTTGAAACTCACAACAACAACGTGCTATGATCGCAGCTCAGTGTCAACTTGGAGAATCACACTTTCACATCCCCAAATGAAGAATAAGGCAAGTTCCTGCCACGATGGAGTGTAGGACTGATGCAAGTTTTTGTTACGCCGGAGTGTGGATAGTAGCCAAGGGCTGGCGAACGTCACCTTTTCTGGTTTGAGAACACCCGTCGCAGCTTTCTTGAAAAATCACTTCACATCACTGGACAAGACTCGTCTCCAAGTTCGGAACTCTGTTCTATAAAGTCATCTCAAGACACATGTGTATTGCGCGGCTGTGTCAGGTGTATCTGGGAGATCGTGTACGATTGTCGACCGGGCAGCAGTTTGCGAAGACAACATCGCACAAGAAAAACATATCGGTAGTCAAGAAGATACTAGGCCAAAAAGCAGGAACCCCAACGGTAGGAGTAGTCACCTTGTTCAAAAGTATCTTTTCAGTGAAACAGTAAGTATGTCCATTGAAATTGCTGGAGGAATCGGGGAATGGCGATGATACTCGGTGAAGTCATGCCACAGTATAGTCCAGTGGACAGTGGATAAACACAAGCTGTGATCACAATTGGCACGTTTACTCGTGAAACCACACGTTTATTCATTTTTGCTACCTTTTGGTGCGTTATGCGTGTGGAACGAACCAAAATGAAAACTCAAACATGTTCTATTTTTCAGCGCGTACATAATGTACATGTCTGTGACCAGTCCAGCAGCAAGCCAACAGCCGCCAGTGCTCCCAGTGTCACCGATTGTTTCTAAGTGCGGGTGGCATTGCAGTCCATCGCTGTGCCCAGTCCAGTTCTGCCCTGAATGTTGCCAATGTCACAAGCTCTTCACCTGTACGCCTATGTATTCGGAAAGCGTGCTGTACCGCTCACTGTCCCATTTGTGAACATTGCTGCAAGTCGATCCCCGGGGCTTTGCTATCCACAACTGCAACCGATCCACCAGGCGCTCAACTGCTGATGAAAGGGACAAGTTCCAATTGCAATGTCAGAATTGCCAGAGGCAATTCAAAAGGCGAAACGACTTATCCCGAAACCAACGCTCATGTCTCCTCTCGTCTCCGTCTCGCTCAACGAGAAACACGTGACCTACATGGCAGTGTATACCAGGACCAGGTGTGTGTGTGTGTGTGTGTGTGTGTGTGTGTGTGTGTCAGTGTGTAGGTGTATAACTATGTGCATATTACCTACCAGTAATGGCTCCTTCTCTCCCCTTTCGTTGGTATATGTCAGGTTTTCTACACCTTCCTTCAAGGTACCGTCCTCTTGAAGGATTGCCTTCCTCAGCTCCTGATGATCGTTCCTCAGTACAAGGCGGAGCAGGTGCTCTGCCTTGGGAAGAGTCTTCATTGCCATGGCTACACCTGTAGTACACCGGACAAAATGAGAGAAATTCCAGTCAATGCTAATGTATGCTATGTTTGTCATAACTATGCAAAACATCACAATACAATAGACTCTCATAGGCATACTCAGGTGCCACTCCTGCCTGGATTGGCAGTTGAGTAGAAGTGTGCAGATAAGAATTAAATGCTTGAGGGGCAAGTAGAGTGTTGAGCACACTTGAGGATCTCTACGTACATGTCAAGGCATATATGAAATCATACCACATAGTATTTGCCTGGTCAGACAGCAGCACATAAATACTCATGGGATTACTCTACAAATCTTCATAGTAACTTCACAACACGACGGCAACAGCTACTGGGTTTAATGTTGCAGGAGCAAGAATCCAATTCCCTTTTCAACTCCAAATTGCAAATAGACTTTGCCACTCATATAGCGTTCAGTTGCTTCAACCAACACCAAACAGCATAATGCATAATTATCCTGAAGTTGCCTTTAGCTACAAAGTGGAGGACACCACTGGTACTCAATGTATGCTGTGGGGTAGGAAACATTTGAAAAAAGGTTTTTTCAATGTAAGGTAACGTTTAACACTGGAATTTATCGGCACATGCATCTGGTTTTGTATGACGTGCAGCAACATGCGCACAGGTTGCCTTGGTTATAAAATAGCTGACTTGAAGGAAACAAGTTTGCTTTCCAGCGGCAATTAGTCATCTCTTGAGTGTGTCAAAGATGTTGTGTGACTCTGTTTTATGATATGCGTAGTTCACAGTGCAGGGAAATATGTTCTCAACCTTCCAGGCATCATATTATTGTGTTTTCTTGCTGTCGCCAGTCCAAGTTACTCAAGGTCTGACAAGAAGCTTAACGCCGGTCAAGTACACATACATGTCCTCTCATAACAGAACATAATATTGTATGGCTACAAAGTATTAGAATATTAGCAAGAGTATTATAATCCCCAACAGTGAGCAACTCCGCTATGAGTGCTGTCCAGACAGAATTTCATGTTCAACAGTGGACTTCATATTTTATGATGCAATGCTCATTGTTGTACACATAATGACGTATGCAGGACCTGTGGCGGACAAATCCCCTGTTGATCATGCAGAAATTAGTTCAAGAAAATTTTTTGATGCGTTCACGCCCTGTACAAAATGTCGTGAATCACCCGTGGAAGGAGCATTGCATAGTAAAAAGACGTCAACTTGAAATTCGGTCTGGACCGCATGGTATGCAGGTGTGGCACAATGTCAGGGATTGTAAATCTTGATATTAGTCAGAGGTTCAGTAAAACAATTATCATTCATTTTCGACCCCACCCCCCCCCCCCCCTCACAACACACATACATACATACACACACACACACACACACACACACACACACTCAAAAACTAGAGTGCCCCATACATGCAGGTGTATATTTTTGTCATTTTTACTGGTGATATTCTTTCAAGGATGTGATAATATGATACACAATGATTTGTCAAGATGATAAAGACAAAAACAATTTTTGTTCATTGCTGACTGCGCTTCTTGACATGCAGTGTTGCTCAATAAAATCCGGTCGAGCAAGTCAAGTTTGTAGATTTCGCGTGCTCTGCACTTCGCATGCGAGAAGTCAAGCGCACGCGAGGTGAGTTGGGTCGCGTGTGTGAAGTCGGATCTCACGCGACTGCGGAGTTGCCCCCTTGCTCGAACCCAGACAATAATAAGGGGATCGGTCTGTTATGTAGCATTTTGACCTGCACAACAATGCCAACAACACAATGCAAATCATTGTTGCGAGACTTTTCGCCTATTGGATATACATGGCATGTTGAACGACGGGTACACTCCGGTACATGTGGTTATGTAGAGTGTAGGAGTGCTGGATATAGCTAGCTAGATGTGGACCATGATTCAGATGACGCTGGAGACACCACGACTCAGACGGCTGCGGACTGCTAGTTCAGTAGTAGCCATCAAAAGCAGCCATAATCCCAGTTTTCTGCGATTATGCCACTTTTCAAAAATGCTAAGCAGTGCTAGTTTACTAGAACAAGCATATAATGCTGCTTATAATGCTTGCATTAGCCGCCGATGCCTATTGACAGCAGGTCACGTATACACGTCGTATTATAAACAATATACGGAATACTATGGTATGACTGGGCCAATCACAACCCGCTCCCGCCGCTCCTGACACACATGCACACACACGCACAAACGCACATATCACGCCAACATCACAAGCGCACACACACACACACACACAGCGGCAAGGTACTCACCACGAAAGGCACCAAACGTAGCGTGGCCACTCAGCAACCACCGCTCGCTATCACCTACAATATTACGCAAACTGCAAAAATTCTATCTCAAATCTAAAGAGGAACTCAGTCATTTCACGAGAAGGAAATATCTTTCACTGACACAGCAAGATGATCTAGAAAAGACGACAGGCTAGACTCCAGCCAGTAGATGTTTAAAATTATAGTATACTAGTCCACTATCTAGTCATCTTCACTGTCTGTCAACAGTATGCCTCAACCGATAGCTGAATGATCTGTGCCGTTCTCAAACCGTCACTGTGTGGTAAGTCATCACTTATTACTGTGTACAATACATGCACACTTCGTCACGGACAGATGGACAGCAGCTGGTCAGCAGCTGCTGCGACGACTTCACAAAAGGAGAGAGGCCTGGTTCATTCTTACCCCGTTCACCACAAGTCATGAAGATAACTGTTTGGAGAAGAAAACTACCGAGAGATAAGATACCAAGCACTAAAACAGAACACTCCGAAAAAGACTTTGCTCGCACGGCAGCGCACGCATGCTTTGCCAGTGAACTTTGTGAAAAAAAAATAAGAAACTAAAAATGGATTGTGCTGCGTACAAAAGCCAGCCAGTTTGCATTTTGAAACGGGCATCTTAGCGATCCCGCTATCACGTATCGACGCTAGCAGATGGCGGCTGCACTGGAGCACGATTGTATCCCTGGTGTCAATGGTGATTGTTTGGCTTAGATTGCACGACATGAGTAGTTTCCCAGCTTCCAAACCGGCAAATATTTAGATTTTGATAAAAACGATTCAAAGCCTCTCAATTATTCTGTAATACTTGAAGTATAATTATAATGAAGTAGAGGTTGCGACTTCGGCGATGATTTTGTTTAGGAATGGGTTTGCTCCCACACTTGAGCTCGCGCTATTCCGCCGACGACTTGGCACTTGACTGACTCACGACTGCCATCCAGAGAACACGAGAAGTCCATCGAACCTTCAACTCGGCAAACCTGCAAGAAAGCACCACTCCCTGCTCAATACACAGTGTTTCGGGGAATTCACCCCTCATCAGTTGAGCTTGAGTAGGCTGAGGAAGATTGTGCCTGAAGAGCACCACTTATATAGTGCGGTCCAGGCACAAACATCACCAGGGATACAAACGTACAGAGACTCCGTTTCCAGCGCGACAAACACCTCGTGAACACCAGATAGCAGCGTGAGTCAGTTATCGCTCCTGGACGGTGAGAACAGGATGGCAGTCGTGCGTCAGTCAAGCATCAAGTTGTAGGCGGAATAGCGCGAGCTCCAGTGGGGGAGCAAACTCATTCAACAAAATCATCGCCGAGGTCGCAACTTCCTACTTCGTACTGTTGTGCCCAGCGCGGGCGTGCGACTAGCTGGTTTGGAGGTGACAGCGTAGTGAATGACCGAGGGTCCTCGACGTCTACAATTACAAGCGAGGGTCCCTGGTTCGAGTCCTGGTGGTGACAGTCAATTTTTTCTTCCGACTTTTCCCGTTTGTCTCTTTCCCTCAAAGTAGACGAAATAATAATAATAAAATTTATAATTATATACTTTCACTCCAAACAAGCTCGGTGCAGAACTAATCACGGCAGGGGAACCCGACTCTCCACCATCGCCAACTCACGAAGCATATACATGTATAATATGAACTGGACGGTGACGGGCCGACCGAGCATCCCTGACACACAATACAGCGGAACGTAGCAGCACGAAAGATACCCGACAGCGATAGTATCCCTTCAACGACGAATAGCTACCTCCCAAAGATTGAGATGTGAGCAGGCAAAGGCGCCTGAGGAAGGCCGTGGATGCCGGCACAGCTGCCCCGTTCACGGAAAACACTAAAGGTGCAAAGGCACCACGCTCAACATTCACTACTCTCTCCTATTATTGAAGTCTCTAAGCGCCCTCATGTTGCCGGAACAGCGCGTCCAGGCTTCTGGACGCATAGGAAGAAGCGTCAGGATTAAACACCCCTACATGAAAAAAATGGATCTTGCCCACGCGTCCATGACTCTAAGCATGAGTAGTGCTTTTCACTTTTCACGCACACTCTTCTACATTAGAAATAGTGAATTCCCCGAAACACTGTGTAATGAGCAGGGAGTGATTCTTTCTTGCAGGTTTGCCCAGGGGAAGGCGTGGCATGCTCCCATGTAAATCTAGGTGTGGGAGTAAGCTGGGCTGCAAGTAACCTGGTAACTAGTTACCATGCAGTTAGTGAATGGACCACACGTGCACGTTCTTCAGAGGTCGCTGTATCGTGTGGGTGAGCAGAAGGGTGGCCAGACATGTGTACGTGTAGAAAGGCACAATCATCTGGCTGAGGCCAACTACATGTACTCTTCAATCTGTGTTTGCTTGCTATTCCTGTCTATGTCTCTGTGTGTGCCGATATGTGGATCGAGGATTAACACTGCCGGCTCTTTAGCTCCACTGTCTCTACACAGAAATACAATGCAGTACGTGGATAATGTATAATGATTGCACATTTTATTTACGGGTGGCTTTTATTTTTTCCCACTCCCTCATTGATTTCATCGAGTAAGGTAAGCGGGGGGGGGGGGGGGGGGAAGGAGGTGACCAGAAATATAGAAAAAACGGTGTGGCCTACGTCAAATTGGACACATATGCAAAAAAACTGTGACACACACACACACACGAACGCAGGAGGGATGGCGGAACCGGTCCGGCCATTGTTGGAACTACTGTTCGGTCGCCAATGTGTGGTTACTGCTGAGGACTGACAGCAGGTTACGTATACATGTCATATGAATAGACAATAAACGGACTACTATGCTATACATGTCATATGAATAGACAATACACGGAATACTTCGGTATGGCTGGACCAATAATACAACCCGCTCCCGCCGCTCATGACACACATGCACACACACGCACAAACACACGCACAAACGCACATATCACGCCAACATCACACGCGCACACACGCACACACACAGCGGCAAAGTACTCACCATGAATGGCACCAAACGTAGCGTGGACACTCAGCAACCACCGCTCGCTACCATCTACAATACTTTGCAAGCTGCAAGAATTCTATCTCAAGTCTAAAGAAGAACTCAGTCGTAAATACAGTTTTCGTGTTGGAAATTTCTTTCACTGACACAGAAATTGATCTAGAAAAGACGACGGGCTGGTCTCCAGTCAGTAGATGTTTATACTAGTCCACTATCTACTAATCTAGTCATCTTCACTGTCTGTCCTCAGTATGGCTCAACCGACATCTGAATGATCTGTGCCGTTCTCAAACTCACTGTGTGGCAAGTCATCACTTATTACTGTGTACAACACATGCACACTTCGTCACGGACAGATGGACAGCAGCTGGTCAGCAGCTGCCGCGACGACACGTATCCGCTACTATCGACGCTAAGATGGCGGCTGCACTGGAACGCGTTATCCCTGGTGATGGTTTGGCTTAGATTGCACTACATGATTAGTGCTGTTCACTTTTCACTCACACTCGTCTACATAAAAGTGAATTCCCCGAAACACTGTGTAATGAGCAGGGAGTTTGTTTGTTTGTTTGAACTTTTATTTTACATCGCAAACCAAACGGGGATTGATCCCAATATTATGATGGCGATAGAATAAAAAGTGTGGCTCGATAAAGCTGTACTTGAGAAAATGAGAAAACAGTCAATGGGAAGTATTTATGTACCGGTTACAAGTCAAGTTCGAACAGAATTAACAATCAGAGAGAAATAGGAAGATGAGGACCTATGCCAGAGGGAGGTACTATTCGGCCATACGGGTAAACCGTACAAAAACACTACCAGCAATAGGGTTGGACGACGAGTGGACGTGAGATTCTGTGGCAGCCTGGGTGTTCCAAAGCTTCACTGCGGAAACCAATCGTCGGCTGTCGCCGAATTAGCGCCGAGTTAGCGACACAACAAACATGTATTTGAAATTGTCATTGCCACGGGTGTTACTGGGAGGTTGAAAGGCTACTCTATCTTTCAGAAGAGGGCTGATGCTGCTGGTGTGGACACGGTGCATAAGGAAACGGAGTTTGCATTTTGCAAGTTCAATTACAGGGCTCAAGGAAAGGCGAGTGGTATGGGAAGGGAAGGGCAGACTGGCTAAGCCTCGAACACATCGCTTGTCGAGGACAGTGAGCTGGTGCCGCTGCTGAGGCGTAAGTGCAGAAAAGAACGGTTTTGATCAATAAAGAGTGGTTCTTTCTTGCAGGTTTGCAGAGTGGAAGGTGCGATGTGCTCTTTGTGCGCTCCGGGTGGCAGTCGTGAGTCAGTCAAGTGTCAAGTTTGGTAGGAAGCGTGTGTTCCTCGTTCGAACAACCAACTTCATCGCTAACACCGCCAAAGTGGCAACTTCTAAGTTCAGAAAATGCAGTTGTAATAAATCGACCGTTCGATCGAAGAGATCAAATAATTGAAGACATGAAAATAATTTTAGAACAAGAATATGGAACGAAGCTAGTACTGTGCGGGGGGGGGGGGGGGATAGCTTAGGAGATAAGGGATGGAGCCAGGGCGATCATAGTATTTGATATATGTAGAAGTAATACACAAGAGAGATTGGAAGCTTTGTCACAACTCTGAGTTTCACTTATTAGTACGATCAGCATGCAACTGATGGCTCCAAAACGGGGCAGCCTGAACATACGGGGGAGCAAGGTGGGACATTGTGAGGGGTATCATAGCGCAAGAGTCAGGTGCAGGCGTGAAGTTGCCAAGCCTTTAGATTTGGGGCTATGCAGCAGCAGTTCCGCCGTGAATGATATAGAATAGAGCCGGGGCTTTATAAAGACTTGGCAACTTCACGCCTGCACCTGACTCTTGCGCTATTATACCCCTCATCATTTCCCAGCTTGTTCTCCCTTATGTTCAGGCCGCCCCATTTTAGAGCCATCACTGATCAGTTGCCTGATGATCGTAGTAATACGTGAAACGCAAAGTTGCGACGCAGCTTCCAATATCTCTCTTGTGCCCTACATGGGTATGGGAGCACTCTTCGGACAGTGAAGCACTTCACTTGTTTATGCAGAAGTAATATTAATTATCTTGACCAATAATAATAATTATATATCTTTTAAAAAACAATAGTGCAGTGGACCTGTGCAGAGGAAAGTCATAATGGACATGATCTACGTGTATAACTTATAAGACAGCTTGCCAGGGCACATCATACACTCGTGAACCTCGCAAACACATGATGCATGATCGCAACAGAGCAAACGAGAGACGGCACCGGATGTAAGATATTACATGGGAGTACTGCTCCTTCCTCCTGTCTGCTCTCAATAACGCCATTCGGCGATAGAGTGATGTAGCCGCTCTTCCAATGCCACCACTTGCCGACAGCAAATCAGGCATGAACGTCGCATGCTCCACCACTCTCACTCTCTCTTTCTCTTTCTCTCTCTCTCTCTCTCTCTCTCTCTCTCTCTCTCTTCATAGCATCGTCTCTTTCCTTTTTCATGGCGCCAATAGACAGTGGTGTGTGTTGCACATCGATTTGAGGTTGCGAGAGGATTAAGAACCCATAATTATAATCAAGTAAAGTACGCTCAAAACGACTGCCCCACAACCCACTGACCGCTACATCAAGCCGCGCATGCTCCTCCACGATAGCAGAGACCTGTATCTTATTCTCTCTCCAGTGAGTGGCTGCAGCAGTGGCTCGATGGAAACATTGTGATAGGTCTCTTGGAGGGGAGAGCCTGTCACATCCCTGATATCATTATGGCGGATAATGGTAAAACAAGCAAGGGAACATGACAAGGCATGGTCAATACCATTGTCCCGTCCACAAGCTCAATGAGTTGGTAACCTTGGTGGCATCCAACCATAACGGAGGCACAAGACGTCCATGAACTCGGCTTTGTTCAGTAAAAAGCCATGCCTTTCAATGGACGGCAAGTGACTTTGCCCCGCCGCCACTTCCATCCAATATGCCACCGCCCCCGCTGTGCAGCATCATTCTGATGGTTCTGTGGTATTCAGTAAAAATAAAAAAGTCAGCCAACTCGAGGCACCAGGTTCACTGCCGAGGACAATGGTGTGTCGCAAGGCGTCCGACGCATCATTGCTGATACGCCGTGACGACTCCGCCTAGCTGTAACGCACTTCCTACTTTCTCTTCGTCTTCTCCCGCTGGAAGCCAATCAGAGAATTCCCAATATCAGAAACACGATCCACGATACGCCGGGAGAGAAATGCTGTGATGGCGACAGACGACTCATACTGGGAGCACAAGGTCATCGGGCTGACCAGGCCCAGGCCACCCAAACGAAAGGGCATTGCGAGTACAATGTACTTCCCTCGACACTGTGCCAGGCGGTGGCCGACCTGTCACTTCTGGTATAAGCATCGTTCTTATCACGTCCTCCAGTGGCTGAACAGAGACGGAGAAAATGACTGGATACGGCATAAGAAAGCCCAGCGTCCTCTCAAGCCCGAGACATTTGCATAATATGCTGCCTGAAGCTGCGAGCGAGCGAAAGAAGCCAGGCGAGTTAGCTCATCAGCCCACTCCTGGACCTAAGTCGACACAAAGTTCTCCTTGACGTCAGCTGAGCCGATGGCTGCTCCCAGGTACCGAGCTTCATTACACGTAATGAAGACACTGGTGTCCCTGCATAGCTTAACAGCCTCGCGATGAAAACGCTCCTTCACCACCAGAATCGATTTTGCTGCATTTGGGAACTATCCATAAGCCGGGCCATCAGTTGCAAAGATGTCCCACCAACGACAGAGTCTACGCAGCACACACGCTGCTGTGGAATCAGCTGCGAACCAAGACTGGATAATCTCGGCTTGTTCTGCCTTGTGCACGAGAGGCATCATGCCAATGGCATACATATACACTGCCAAAGGGTTTCCCTGAGTTGTTCCCCTCTCCGATAATACCCAATCACCGTCGACATAATATACAAGCATGCTTGCTGTATAATTATGTTGATTAAAACAGTGGCCAGAGGCGGGCAAAGATGTTGGACATTCCGAAGGCAGATGTTGCGATTCAGACGATGGAAGGCATTTGTCTCATCCTCCATCAGTCTCTTCACGAGCATACGCCTCCTGCATAGCATGTATGCCCGCCCCCACTCCGCTGTCCTGACCGGCCCACAGCTGGGAGCATCCAATAACCTGCTGGAACACAGGGTCAACAATAGAACAAATTGCCTTCCCATAATGCGACCAACAACCTCACGTGTGCCTTTTAGCCGGACACCGGGCCGCTTGTCCCAGAACAGCAAGCGACATGCAGTGAGCGCCACCAATGCACCAGCATCAATATGCTCAGTGGCCACTCTCCTGGCACAAGAAGCAAGCACATCACACAATCCATCCAAAGCGTCAATGAAACTGGAGCACATATGACGTCAGACCTCAGCATCTACACCACAGGGTCCAGCCGAGCCCTGTGTGCCCAGTGGTGCCTGCCAGATAGCACGGAGCGCCAGCGAAGCAAAATAGATGGGATGCGGCTGATGGGGCGGCTGTCCCGGTATCAGAGTCTCGTCCCACACGAACTCAGCCTCAGGATGCTTCTGCTTCAATCTATCGAATACTGAAACACCGTTAATTTCATTACTGATGCTTGGCACTCCACCACCACGATCAGCACGAAGGCAGCGCAAACTGCAAAGCAGCCGATAGCCTCCAAGATGAGATGCAATCCGCAAACTGTCGTGCAGGATTATCAGGACGACCTTGATCCCTTGTACTGGACTTCCCTCGGAGATTGTGGATAGTCCCTGTTTCCAACAATTATTCATTAATCTGACCGTGAAACCTTTGGTCCAAACGCCTGTCCAGGAGCTTGGCATGACTAGGAGGATCACTGCGCCGAACCTGCAGCATCAGCATCTAAAATACTGCTGCCGCCATAAACGCGCTGTCAGCGTATTGTATTGTATTGTTTATTTACTTACGGATTCTCCAGAGGAAAATGGATACCTACCATTGGAGTATCTCCAAACTAATAGACTAAAGAAAACTAGAAAGAATAATACTCAAATAAAATTTGAGTATTTAAATCAAAGGAGAGGAGGAAAATCAAATGATTTAGAACCAGAGATGCTTGTAGAACACTGGAAAGTCACTAAAACAAGAATAACTGGGCTACAGAAGAAATATATGAGCTAATCAGGGATTCCTTTGAGAGAGAGCCTGTGCTCCGAATAATGGTTTCTTAAGCCTAATAAGGCCACCACTTTCAGTACACCTAGAACCGCCAACAGATGTCATTTGACACCTGCATGTATTTCCATGTCTAGGACCAATATTAAAACAGAGAGGTTCCAGGCTGTCCAAGAGAGTGCTCAGTACCGAGAGGCAGAGCTGGTTCAAACAATAGGAGGACAGAGAAAGTGTTTTTAACTCCGAGTTTCGCTATGACCAAAATTATAGTTTTATTTTCAGTACTGGCTATCACTAGTGGCATTTATGATGTAGACAACACCTTAGGCTATACCAAGTCACTATTTGTTGACTATAGGCTACCAAAGTACAATGTACGCGTATCGTCAGTTGCGAAGGATGAACTCAAATACTGGCAAAACTGCAATTACTAGCATAATTATAGTCAGGGAGCCGACCTTCAACAAGTTGCGCTCCAAATCGGGCAAGATGGAGTACAAGATCTCTTCAGCAATCGATAACGGGTCTACCAGAGAAGGGCTTTCGAGTTCTTGGCCATCCAAAAGCTGTGCACGAACATCGCGAGGACGCACTTTGTTAAACGAGTAAATTCACAATTGTCAAGCAATTTGGCGCAAATGTTTTCGTTCTCAGCCGACTTCTCGGATTGAGAAGTAAGTTCGCACGCTCTAAATTCTCACAAATCAGTGACTATGCGCTGATGTATATGGCATAATTCCGTATATGGTGCAACTCCCGCACCCCGTATGCACCCGCCTAGAGCTCCTGCTTCCATATGCGCTCGTACACACTTTCCTTGGTGTTCGTACACACTTCCCTTTTGTGTTCGCACACTGATTGGAATGTTGTTCTTCGTTTGTTGTCCTCCTTGCTAGTTGTGAATAAACTCTATCTGACACCACATGGCGCAGTGAGCATTTCGTCCTGTAGTTTCCATTCTGTCCACACCAACCTAGTTTGTAGTGTCTTACCTGGCCCAGTAGCAGTGTAGCACTCCGTTGGATTTGGATTAGATTACCCTGCAGTTAGTTTGTTAGTTCGTTTTACAAGGGCGTCGGAATCGCACCGGTCGGGGCGGCCATGGCCGCCCCACTTTTTCGGCCGGTTTTTTTTTCTTTTTTTCTTTAGCACACTGCAACAAAGCGCGATGATCTCAGCACAAACGTGGCAAATCCTTGTCCCCGATCGTGGTTTGTTGCAGAATCAAAAGTCCATGTACACTGAAATGGCACCAAATGCCTGGGAATGCTTGCAATTGGCTTAAATTTTTGAATTTTTTTCCCGGGGGAGGGTAATGTTTGTCCCCGATCGTAGCATCTTCTTGGTTTTTGCAGAATCAAAAAGTCTTTCATTGTAGTTACCGTACACTGAAATGGCACCAAATGCCCGGAAATGCTTGCAATTGGCTTTAATTTTTGAAATTTTTTCCACTTCCAAAGTCGTTCCGACGCGCCTGGTTTTAGATAGGAGTGTTGTTCAATTTCTTTCGTAGGACGTAGTCGTGTGAGCTGTCACAACGAGCATTTGTGATCAGCATGGCGAGCAGCGATCCCGTAGCACCTTCTGGTAATGGAGTGCCTGACGTCGCCACGCTCCTGCAGCTCCTGACAACTCAGGCACAGGCGTCTGCACTGCGAGATCAGCAGTTTCAGACCCTGATGGAAAGGATGTCCAACCAGACCAGTACTAGTTCTACAACCCCACCCGCACCCAAGTCTGTGTCCGCAGAACGACCAGTATTGTTATCTACTGCCACAATGGCAGAATTTACCGCTTGGGAGGAGGCCTGGCGTGACTATGCGCAATGCCAACGTCTTGCCAGCCACGACCGCCACACACGTATGTCAGCGTTCCGCCAGGCCCTAGATGAGGACCTGCGCCGTTTCATCCAAGAAGGCATTATCGCCTTCCCGGAAGACGCTGACATTGCTGATGCCATCCCGGTCCTCCAGCAGTACATCCGGCGGCAGAGGAACCCACTGCTCGACCGAATCGAATTTTACAAGAGACGGCAGCAGCGTGGGGAATCATTTGGCTCCTTTTATACGGCCCTCCGTGAACTGTTTCACGCGTGTGACTTTTCTGGGTGTTAAGTATGTCATAACTGCAACCAGGCGATGTGCAACCCCTGCAAGGCAGGCCTGTTGAAATTCAACAACGACATACTACGTGACCGCATTGTGACAGGTGTATTTGAGGACGACGTGCGTCACAAGCTGCTGGCCCTCCAGGATCTGGAGGCAACCGTGAAGCTCTGCCGTGCTGAGGAAGCAGCCTGCCAAACTTCCTCTGGCATTTCCTCCAGTGATCACGTGCACGCAGCTAAGAAATCATCTTATAAACAGCAGAAGGCGAGCCGGCCCGCACCTGTGAAGTCTACACCAGACAAGCCCGCAGGTGACAAGTGTCCCAGCTGTGGTCGCAGTCCCAACACCAAAGGCACATGTCCTGCGAAGTCACGCAAATGTAACGGATGTCAACGTGTCGGACATTTCCAGTCCATGTGCTCGCACAAAGGCAAACCAACAGCATCCGGCAAAGTCGGCCAACTTAAGTTGCAACGTGCCTCTGTTCGACATGGTCTAGAACTCAGTGTCCACACGCAGCTCAACACAGAACCGACCGCCGAAGCCATGACATGGATTCCAGACACCGGCAGCGATGTTGACGCCATTGGGCCTGCACATCTTTCCCAGCTAGGTGGCTTCCCTGAGAACCTTGCCGTCGATTCCGACACTGTTTCAGCAGCAAACAGCACCTCTCTGGTTAGCCTGGGAAAGATTTCTGCCAGGCTCTCCATTGGCTCAGCCCAGCACACCACGGTACTTCATATGTATGAAGACCTCGATGAGGCGTTGCTGTCATGCCAATCTCTCCGTGCTCTTGGCATTCTCCCTGAGTCTTGGCCGCGGATCTCCCGTGTGAAGTCCGAACCCAGTAGTGCAGACATTGCTAATGTTAAGGCTCAGCTGATGCAAGAGTTTGCTGATGTATTTGACGATTCCCAATTGAAGCCCATGGCTGGTCCTCCCATGGAGATAAAGCTTCAATCTGACGCCACACCAACTCGTGATAATGGTGCCCGCGCAATCCCATTCGCATTCCGAGACCAGATAAAATCTCAACTGGACGATAATATGGTGATCAATGGAATTATTGAGCCAGTCACTGAACCGTCAGACTGGTGCCATCCGATCGTCATCGCAGATAAGAAGTCTTCTAACGAGAAGCGCCTCACCGTTGATTTGCGTAAACTCAACGACCAAGTCTGCCGACCAACACACCCAGCTCGTACTCCGCGTGACGCCGTGACAGCTATTGGTAAAGCCCGTTTCTTCACCACACTCGACGCTCGTCATGGGTACTGGCAAATACCCCTGTCCGACGACTCGAAGCCGCTCACGACATTCATCACGCCCTGGGGTCGGTATCGCTATTGCCGCAACCCTCAAGGTCTGTCCTCAGCAGGTGACGAATTCAACTGCCGCACAGACGCAGCATTTGACCGCCTCGCTAACTTCGTCAAAGTCGTTGATGACGGCCTAGTACATGACGTCGATTTTCAAGACCACGTCACCCACGTTCGTGACGTCCTTCACCGTGCCCCTGAGCATCACATTACGCTCAGCCCACACAAGTTTGTATTCGGCGCTAGTGAAGTACAGTTCTGCGGATTCGTCATCAATGCTGATGGTTATGCCGTTGATGGTAGCAAGACATCTGCCATTCGCCAGTTCGAAGTGCCCTGCAACCGCACTGACCTCCGCTCGTTCTTCGGTTTGGTCAACCAATGCAGCGACTTCACACCGCGCATTGCTGAACTAAGTGAGCCGCTTCACCCACTCCTGAAAACCAGCAATGAGTTCGCCTGGGATCAGCAGCACACCATAGCATTCGAAGCCGTCAAAGCCATCCTGACTGAGTCACCAGTGTTAGCTTTCTTCCAACCTGGCAAGCCTCTCCGTCTCGAGACTGATGCATCTGTGAAGAATGGCCTCGGATTTGCCCTTTGGCAACAGCATGATGACCAGCAATGGCACCTCATCCAGTGTGGAAGTCGTTTCTTATCTGACGCTTAAACAAGGTACGCTGTAATCGAGCTCGAGTGCCTCGCAGTCGTCTGGGCAGTGCACAAGTGCCGCTTGTATCTATCTGGTGCACAGTTCTCACTAATCACCGACCATCGTCCGCTTGTTCCGATTATCAACAGCTACACCCTTGACCAGATTGAGAACTCTCGTCTACTCCGATTGATCATGAAACTTCGTCCATATCAAGTGAAAGCATCGTGGCGTAAGGGTTCAGAGCACGTATTCGCAGACGCCCTCTCACGACATCCTGTATCAATCCCGACTAGTGATGATGAACTTGGAGAAGATCCAGCACTGTCCTGCCGCAGTATCTGTATCTGTCTACTCCAAGATGGTCCCCAGAGTCTCCAGTTCGCTAAGCTCCGTGCCGCAGCAGCATCTGATCCTGACTACCAGATGCTACTCGGGTATATCCAGAACGGATTTCCCTCAGCACAAAAGCAGCTGCCCGAGCCTCTTCGTGCGTATTGGAACGTGCGTGAACATTTGTCCACCGACAATGGCATAGTCCTGAAAGGTCTACGCATAGTCGTCCCAGCCTCTCTGCGTGCGTCAACGCTGATCGACCTTCACGCAGCCCACCAAGGTCTGACCCGTACCAAGCGACGTGCTCGTCAGACAGTGTATTGGCCCGGAATGAACAGTGAGTTAGACACGCTAGTCCGCAGCTGTGATTCATGCCGTGAATTTCAGCCGTCTCAGTCTGCCGAACCGCCCATTTCTGACCGCAAGCCCACTTTGCCATTCGAAAGTGTTAGTGCTGACCTTTTCTGTTGCCAAGGTTGCGAGTATTTGGTATTCGTCGACCGTTTAACCGGATTGCCATGCATAGCCAAGCTTGGTCACTCAGCCACGTCAGCTGACGCCATCCGTCATTTCCGCAGGTGGTTCCCAGACGTAGGCGTACCACAGGTCATTTCAACGGACGGCGGTCCTCAGTTTGCGTCTCACAGATTTGCTGAATTTTGCGAGCGCTGGGGAATCCGTCATATCAAGTCGTCCCCTCACTACCCGCAGTCGAACGGACATGCGGAGGCAGCCGTGAAGGCAATGAAGTACCTGGTGGAAAAGACTACCAATGATGGTAATCTAGACACCGATGCTTTCCAGCGTGGCCTTCTCGAGTGGCGCAATACTCCTGGCACTTCGGGAAAGAGCCCTGCCCAGTTACTGTATGGTCGCCCACTCGTCTCCTTCGTTCTCGCCCAATGGAGCCAGTTTGACTCCCACTGGCAAGACACCGCATCTGACATGGATGATGTTGATCGAGTAGACCAGCCTCCCAGTCAGCCTCACCGAGAGCTTCCCCACTTGTCTATCGGGACGCACGTTGACATTCAGCACCCGAAGACAAAACGGTGGTCTTCCCGCGGCGTTGTCGTGGCTATCGGTGACCACCGCGACTACTACGTCAAGCTACCGAGTGGACGCGTATATGGGCGCAACCGTCGCTACCTCCGCCCGTACCGTCCTCCTACTCCAGCTTCAACAGCCATGCCTGCATCGTCTCCCGTACCCGACGCTTCACCACAAGCAGTCCATGTGACTCAGTCGTCGCCACAGTCAACTGTTCAGGTACCACCTCAAACAAGCCAACGTCCCCGGCGACAGAATGTCCCTTTCAACATTATTTCAACGCGTGGACAATCGTACAATTAACACTCGCTCTGTTCAGTTGTTGATGTCCATTGTACCTATTCAATTGTCATTCCCATTGTTTCGCAGTTGAAAACCTTCATGTATATAATTTTGCAATTATCCCTTTTACAAGTCTGTTGGAAGTTGCTGCTGCTCCGCGACATGTCATTTGCTACGCACATGCAATTTTCACATTATTTTTTGTTGATTAGATAAACACTTGTACGTTTTTATCTTAGGAGGGGCATGATGTATATGGCATACTTCCGTATATGGTGCAACTCCCGCACCCCGTATGCACCCGCCTAGAGCTCCTGCTTCCATATGCGCTCGTACACACTTTCCTTGGTGTTCGTACACACTTCCCTTTTGTGTTTGCACACTGCTTGGAATGTTGTTCTTCGTTTGTTGTCCTCCTTGCTAGTTGTGAATAAACTCTATCTGACACCACATGCGCCTGTGCAGAAGATAACGACGCTGCAAGCTTACTTTCTCAAAGCGTGATATACATTTTCATTACGATTTTGACTTTCAAAGTGAGAACAGCGCAACATCAACTATTGCCATGGTCCGGTCCAATACACTAGTCACTAAGCATGGAGCGTCTGGAGAAAAGTGTGACAATTTCCTTAGGTTATAGGGTGTGTACCAGCAATAGTGCACAATAATACTTGACTGCCAGTGCCACAACCGTATGCACCACTGACCAGTCACCAAACGTGCAAGATCATCATCACCCATATTGGTACTCTGCCTGGCCTTTTTATCTGCTGCAGTTTGCGGGCAATTCTGCAACGCTTGCAAGCAAAGTTTCAAACGTTTATTTCCAGGTCTGAGTGAGGTCGAGTCGAGCGAAGATTCCGGCAGAGTAGGCGAGTCCCTGAGTCCCTACTGTAGATCATCGGTAGATGTTGAGGAGATGCTTGGGAAATGTGATCTTGACTGCCAGTGCCACAACCGTATGCACCACTGACCAGTCACCAAACGTGCAAGATCACCATCACCCATATTGGTACTCTGCCTGGCCTATTTATCTGCTGCAGTTTGCCAGCTTGTTTATTCTGCTCGTTCTTCACTGGTGCAGGTGAGCCTAGCTGCTATTGCACAAAATACTTTGTGTACCCTATGAGAGATCAAGTAACTCGAAAACGAGAGATTGTTTGAAACAAAGGTAGAATGCGCTGTTCAACGTGCTGCCACGGTCCAACAGCTAGAGAACGGGACAAGTTCCAGCGTATTTGTATCTGCTCTCGCCGGTTCTGACTAGTCTCGCCATCTTGTGTTCTCTCTCT